GTTAACAATATATACTAGTTGTCGATGCAGTTACGATGCGGTTAGAATGCAACATTCACTGTTTCCTATCTACACTGCATTTGTACCTGCAACCGCAGTGCATTCTCATTGATTAATACTTCATTAAATTAACAAAGACAAAGCATTTTACTTACTTTTATACTCTTTTATGCACTGCTTATCGTCATTTATTGAGAACAAAAATATTTATCATAAAACTTTAGCTTAGCTTCAGCTTCATAAAACTTATATAACTCTAGAAATAAAATTATAAGTACTAATAACTAATATTAGATTAAATGTAAATTAAAGTAATCGAGTAATAATTTTATTATTTTCACTGTTTCAAACTTTTGCGAGATATAATATAATTACTTGAAATAAAAATATTGCATTCTTTGCACAAGATAATATATCTCAAAAAAATATTTTAAAAAGTTATCCAGGGAAAAACTTGCTTTTGACTATTTTAACGCGAGATAAAGTTCCAGGATTTTAATAATTGTATGTGTATTACATTCTTTACCTAAATACTATTTTATTTACAATAAAACTTACAAGAGTAAATCTTCTAATTAATTTTCAATATCTTACTTTCTTTCATTCGTCTTTTTTGTATCCTACATTTAAAAATGTATAGAGTCGTAATATATAGTATTTTAAAATTACCTAATGTATTTGCAATTTCTTAAAATGTAACAATTTTTAATAGTATTTTTTTAAATAATAGATTTGTTTAAAGTACAAGAATTTCGTGATGCAAAGTATTGCACGCCTAGCAAGAAGATGCCAATCGGATTCGTTCAACTACCGCGCAATTTTTCCGCTTGTCGAATCATAATTTAATTCAACATTCCTACGCCGTATGGTCTTCAAGCTCCGAGATTTATCGGAGCTGAACGACGATGCATTAGCGATGGAAGAGCGCGGAAACGAGATGAGGATAACGAAACGAGGGAAAATCGAGAGAAAGCGTCGACTAACCCTCCGTCTTTAAACCCTCCACACCCTCCTATCTCTCCCTTCCTCATCTCTTTCTTCGTCGAAGCCCCTCAAGACGTGTAACGAATCAATTGAGATCTGATTGAGCTCAAATTCAGATAAGTAGAACTCGGGCGCCACTAAATAGGTAACTGCGATAGAATAATGAAGATTGGAGGACTGACCTGTCGATTAATTTATCCTGCGTTAGATCTACATTTAAGCCATGACATTTTTCTCACAAAAGACTCAATTAAGAATTAACAGAGAACAGTTGTACAATTAACAATAAACTCAATTAAAAAGTAACAAAAAGTTGCACAATTAAAATATTAGTTTTGCATTATCAATTTCTCGATTCTCAACAAACAAAGGCTTTCTCAAAGCTTCATCTAATTACGAAAACTAAAACGAATAAGTCAACGATTTAAGATTTCGCATAGCGAATCGTCCCGATCGACATAGAATGTTTCAAACGAGTCATTTCGTTTCTAATCCTATAATATTATCCGTAAGACGCATCACGATCTTGGACACGAATTCTTGAAGAAGCGACTGCTGCGCTTTACCGACATCCATCACTTCCTCATGATTTGCCTCGCCGAGATCTTCGTAATCAGTAACGCATTGATTAGTGATCAGACTAAATGCGAACACAGTGAGGTCGCAATGCCGGGCAGTAATCACCTCATGAACCGTGGACATACCTAAGTGCACATATGCTATTATATAAACGTAGAAAAAAATATTTACGTAAAGAAGCAAAAAAGAATTAATATGCACATATAAAAAAATATATTGGCGAGGAATTGTGAGGAAATGGAACAATATGCGATATATTTTCAAAATTTTGCGATAATTTTGTAAAATTATTAAAGGCAATCTTTAACAACTTTACAAATACTATTTTATCATTGGAATGTTATCGTTATAACTTTGCATCTCTCAATCTCTTTCTGACGCCTTATTTGTTCTAGATTCAATTACCCCACGCAACGTCATGCAGATAAGTATCCAGTTGCAAAATACGATGAATTTATCATACGCTGTTTTGTAAGTGACAAGAAAAACTAAATGCTTATCTGTGAATCAATATACGTGTGGTGTGACATGAAAGCAAATATCGTTGAGGCGCAAACACTAAATGCCTCTAATAGTATCATGCATATATTGACATTCCTCGATATTTTTAATGATTGAAGAATGTTGTTCGCGATAATGACAGCGAGAAGCTAATGCGATTCCATATTGTCCTGATTTAAATGTTCGAAATTTCTTTCTGAATTGTTATGAGGATACTGATCTTTTTGTAAGCCAAATGTTAACTTATTCACAAGACCTATTAATCGAGAAATGAACAACGTACCAACTGCGTCGACTCCGATCATTCTCAACATTTTCAGCTCCGCCACTGTCTCGAAATTCGGTCCACCCAAACACGTGTAAACCCCTTTATGCACGATGCCCTTAATGCCCATTTCCTCGGCTACTTGTTCACCGATTTCCCTCAGCGCAGCATTGTAAGCTTTGTTCATGGGTGGAAATCGGGGACCAAATCTTAAGAAAAAAGAAGTAAATGCTAAAAATAACAATGTCAATTTTTTCTTAACTTAGTTTTTCCCTCAACTAGTTCAAAAATAATAGAAACGCTAACAAATCCGACAGAAAAGCCGTAAAAATTCACATTGTTAACGAATTCGTATCCGCTTCCGTCGAGCACCGCGAGTAAAAAAAAAAAAACTCGTCGAAACTCGTCGGATCTTAAAAGACTTGTGAAGAGCTCGGAAAAAAAAGAAGCGGGAAGGCAACGGCGACTTGTAGAAAGAATGGAATTAATTTATTTCATTGGAATAACCCCTTGAATTGGATTGATGAACTATTTGCACGGCGACATAAAGAAGCTGATTGACGTATTTACTCAGCAAAGTATTTCTCCGCTTCCTTTCCTTCCTTGTTCCTCCCCCCCTTGCCTCTCCCGTTTCTCCTTATCGTTCTTACTTCCTCCCATTGACACCTTTTTCTCCGAATCCTCTTACAACTTCTTCACCAGCTCATTCCGCCGCGTTGTATCCGTTTTCGTTTCCAAAGCAGAATCAACTTAATTTTTTGTCAAACTGCGATATCACCATCTCGAAATTTTCCCGAATCCCGACCTTGTCTAACTTAACTTAATTCTCATTGTGCACACTAAGAAAGAAAGATTCAGTTCCACATAAATCCCACCTGTCGTCATTTGGTCCTTGAAGAGGATTGTTGCCGGCAAAACCCATCATATTCACATGATCCTTCACTATCATGATATCACCGACTTTGTAAGTGGGATTTAAACCGCCGGCTGCATTCGTGGCGATTAGGTGCGTCACACCTACTAGCTTCATCACCCGCACCGGCATCGCGCACTACGAGAATAGCCATTATTAAATCATTATTAACCCTAGAAAACCGAACAATCCGGACACCCCAAGAGCATCTAACCAGAGAACATTCTAGAATTCCCCTTCTACTTATTCCGTGCTCTAGCTTGTGTTTAAATTCAACTGGATTTTCTTTAACCGACACGCCAAAATATAAGAACTACGACAAAATGGAGAATTGAACATAACGATTAGCGGCAAAGATATTTGCAAGAAAGTAACAATATGTTATTTTATAGTTATTTGATTGTAATCGTGAAAACTAGCTGTACCTTCCACAGCGGATAACCCTCGTAATAATGAAATCTGCCCTGCATGCACATGACTGGCACTCCCTGAAGATAGCCGAAGACCATTTGGCCGGTGTGGCCCTTTACCGTGGACACCGGGAAATGCGGGATTTCCTCATAGGGGAAGCATTGCTTGTCCAGGAGGGATTCCGCGAGCGAACCTGGACACAACTCGTTTTGCTCATATGATCCTGTTCAGGAATAAACAACTGTGATAGGATGAATACGTCGGAAATCTCGCAACCGTTTCATAATTTCGAAGCGATAAAAACCATCGTTGTTCCCGTTATTCCTCATGCAATCTCTTTTCGACGACTTTGACAGCATGGAAAACTTCAATGTTGGATAAGAAAAATTTTGGGAAATTGTGCACTTCCCCAAAGTAACCGAAGAATAAAATAGATAATAATATATAACAATATTTTCAAATATTGGCATAATTTCATTCTTAAAATTTCTAAAATTTTATGACGTATTTCGGCAGTTGATTAATTCTCTAAACTATTTTCAAAAGAAAAGTAGAGGGATTTATTTTTAAAAACTTTAATATTACTTTAATATTAATATCGCGCATGCCGATCAATTTACGAACCGATAAGTGTAACTATTTGTCGCGTGATTGACTTTCCTGACATCGCGTAGATTGCGTAACAATACAAATAGTATCAGAAACTAACACTGATATTTGTATCTAACACCAATATACAATATATAAGCATAAGACGGCTAAAAAAACAAGAGATAACATTATAAGCATGAAGTCATAATGTGGCAAACACAGTATTAGAAACATATCAATCAATATTTCGAAATATCACCTATAATATCGCATAAAATTTTTTATAATCATATTTCGACAGATAACTTGTTTTATAACTTAAATTTTATGAAAAAACTTTTGATAAATTAGCTTCGTTAACGCAGTTTATGTTAAAATATGCAAAATGAATAACATTGAAACACTGAATTATTCTTATTGTTCTTTGTAAAAATCGAGTCTTACTCTTTATCCAAAAAGATCATAATGGACACTCTACATCACAAAGTCAAGTGGAACATGAAAATAAATCAACTACTAACCTATTCCCGAGCCACATATAATTCCTATTTTCGGTCTGATTTTGATACGATCCAATAAGTACTTTGCTGATTCCTGTAACGTTTCAAAAGTGTACCTGGAAAATATTTATTTAGTATTTATTTCATTTCTACCACAAGAAATGCTAATCTACACGTCACTTAATGCTACCTCATTAAACCGATAGATATAAATGAAGAGATTTAAGCAAAAATGATACAGCAATTCGTAATTTAACATTCAAACATATTTGTAACTTTTAGATTCTGGTGCATGATCTTATGAATCGACCTGTACGAAGAAGCTGTTGGCGGTAAGAGGGTTTCAAAGCAACTCTCAGACGCGCAGTCGACCATGGCACTGGTCGCCTTCTCTGTGTCGATATCACGGAGAGACATATTAAAGCGTACTCAACAGATTGGTACTGATTAAGCGGACGTCGTACCCGTTGCTTTAGCTCTACACGATCGCACAGCTATATTAAACGTCCCGTCATAATTGCGTGTAATTGCGTACCTAGGCTTTCGCGGTAATGACAACTATGGAGGCCGGCGACAACCGTGTAGTTACTCTGGTATAAATACTTTCAAAAGTTGGATGCTGCAAATACAGTCACTTAATAATGACGAATTTTACATATTTTGTATCTATAAAATTTTTATTTAATGTAAAATTTGAATTAAGATTTTTATTTATTGATTCCACGGAATTTTAAATCTTTTAATAAGAATTAAATTTCTCAATTTCTTTGCACTACTAGACGTTTTAATTTTTCGATACGTAAATTTCTGAATTTTTTAATTCTTAGAATTAGATTTTGTCGAAATATAAATCTCTCTGTTTCTCACTCTCAAGTTTCATAGATTCTATAAAGCCCATTTGTATCTTTGAATGCTTCAGTATTTACAATTTTAAATTCCGAAATTTTTCGATCGTAATGTTTCGCATTTTGTAAAATCGTAAGCATCAAGATAGCTAAAGACCTGCAAATAAATTTGAATTATACTGCATTCGGGTTATTCTATGCGCGCTTGTTCACTTCAATGCACGGAAATTTTGTGCGCATACACGATAGATGAGTTGTGCGTGAATCTGATATACAGGGTGTAACCGAAATATTTAAAAGAAAGAAAAAGTAAAAATATAAATGCGTTTATCACGAAAAAGTCACTTTTGCATTTATTTTTCAGCATTACATTACTCTCGAACATTCTATAACAAAAAAGGTTGTATGTGATTTTTTTTCTTATTTTTTATCCTTCTCTATGACATCATGAATGTGTCACTATTAGTGGACAACATAGTTGATTTAATATATTGTTCATGATTAATCCGAAAGTGAACGGGACAATCGATCTACTCGTAACTAATGGAATTTTCTCCTTGAATAAGTGCACAGCAAAAAAAAACCACTATGACAAATTGAAAGTCAAGTTCTGTTCGGAAAATATTCCACTTAACATTGAAGATTGACCTTTAAAAGACTTTTGCCGGACGTTCGTGAGTTTTTTCATCGTGAAGTGCGGCAGAATGACGCATGAACGCTATATATGTATAATTCTATAAAACTCTTATTTAATCCTATTTATCTTTTTGTTTCCAGACTTAAATTGCTTCGATTGGAAGTGATCTGCAATTTGTTCAAGTTGTCATTGTTAACAGATTTCATGCGAGAAACATGCTGAACCTCTCAACCTTTTTTCGGCACACCAAGTATATTCATGAACGCGTTTCGTGTACGCGCACGTATTCTGATGCATGATTTGTAATACCCCTAAAGCCTATGTTACGCATTTAGCTTAAATCCGCTAGTATTTGAGCTCGCCGGTAGTTTAGCACAGGTAACCGCACCATTTTGTACCAGTTTCGGGGTGAAATTACATCAAATTACAGTGGGTTCGCGCGGGCACGCGCGAAATACTTCGTTGATTCGATTTACGCTTTATTTATGAAAAGTAGAATTAATACAAACTAATTTTAGGATATTGGTAATCATTAACGCTAATAGCAAATATTGTCTGTGTATACGTATTTTGGTTTTTTAATTCTATTGCATATATCTTGTATAATTAGACTATCATGCTGAGATGCATTATTAAGATGTGCTATGAAAATACGCAATAAAAGTGAACCAAAAATAAAATTTTAAAATTGTGAAAAAAGAGAGCTGTCACTTCTAATAAAATTTTTACACAAAAAAGAGCTACTTGTTTCATTGATATCAAACTGTCACTTGCTACTTGTTATATTTGTGATTATCTAAATAAGTCCGTATTGTTTAGTCAGTATTTCAATTGAAGAGAATCCGAATAAGGATTTCAAAACGTTTTGCTATTCTAACTTCATATACTATTAATAACAACGATAAATTATTACTCGAATATCTTTTTCTGTAGAATTAATCAAGTCTATTTACCGTTAATAAAATCAATCCTATTATTTTTATATTTTTTCTAAATATATTCTATATTTCCAGCATCCAAGACAATTAAAAGTTAATTTCCACAAAGAAACAATTTAAATTAAACTTACGTATATCGCGCATGCTTTGAATTCAATTGCACGTCGTTGTTGGTCGATCGCTTGACAGCCGGAAAGCTGTCGTGACCGTTCATGGTATCCGGAAATGGCATTTTCACCTCAAAATAATAGTAAGTGTTACACGTTAATAACAATCGATAGAGATACAAGGAGAATAAATAAGCAATTAATCAAATGGTCCGTGTGTACATGTGCGTCCGCGACAAGTGACTGGCGTGACTACCATGCGTCTGTTTTATAGAAGAGTTTAAGCAAGAGTTGAAAAATGCGAGCGAGAATGAGCCAACCAATGATCATATACACGTAAAAGAACCTCCGGCCAATCGGCAACCGAAGCGACTAATCGGAGCATGCTGGAGAGAGGAAAGGGCGCATACGATGATAACCCGCTACAGAGCAAGTGGCTCAATTATTGTTATTTGTTCCGACAACGACGTTGACGTCGTCGAGACGCGAAATCTAGCACGAGATGCAACACTGAAATAATATTACAGTCGACGGGCGAGATCAGCTGATTAACTTAATCTTGAATCTAGAAGCACGCTTGGAATATTATTAAAAACACAGGCAGTGTGCTTGTGTGTTTAATAACAACGCAGTGTGCGTTCAAAAACTCAGAAATAAATAGAGATCCATAAAAAGTATAATCAGTTCACTGCTCACAATTCAGATAGTGTTGGTAGTATTTAATTATATAATTTATTCGTTATCTCTAAAATATGAAAAATTGTAATTTATTTAATCTTTGAAAGCTGATAAATTTAGAGAAAAATTCGAAATTATAAAATGTCTGTAATACAATTATATAATTAACTTTAATTTATTTAAATTGTAATATTTGTTTCTTTCCTTCATTTTTTTTCTTTTCAATTTCTATCAGAATCTTTTAAAATCTTATAACAATCTTTCCTTGTTAAAAACAATTCAAAATAGGATGAGAAATAATATGCAATTGACTCGATTTTCATTCAATTTAATCAAGGAACATTCGACTTCATCAATTTTCGTCGGAGCGTGTCGAGCATCAAGAGTCGCATGCACAAGTGAAATGCGTGAAGGCACTCTCATGAGATGTTATTAGGTAGTTATATTGTACCTTGAAACAAGATATGTGCATACATGATAACGCATACCTCCAAGAGTAAGCTGATCTATTTATACCTTTTGTAAATTTAAGTTAGATTAGATTTGACACAAATTTTTTTCAAAGTTAAAATTGCGAATTTTTACTCATGAATTAAATCAGATTTTTCTAATGACAAATTTTTTGTAATCGTAATAATTTAAATCACCGTTTTCACTAAAATCACTAAACATTGATCAAACAATATCTAAATTGTTTGTGTCAAAAATAAATTCGGCGATAAAAGCATAAAATTCGATTGCTGATTTTATTAATTGTAAGCACCAAATTTCTACCATTTTTAACAATATTATCCATTTTTTAAAGTGCTTCGTTAAATAAATCGATCCTATCGTGCTAGATATGCTAGATATGAAAAGTATGAATGGAAAAATTCGACAAGCAACTGAAGGAGAGAATCGAATGCGCATTTATCACAGTTGTGTTATACAGATAAGATTAAACCTCAAGACGAAATAAGCATAATATTGGAAATCGCAAAAATTCCAAAATTTTGAATGCTAAAAATAAAATTGTTACAATAAAGAATTATCTTCCGTTAGATTTTTATTAAGAAAAAGCTTATTGTATGTATACTGCATATCGAGAGATTATCCAGAAATAAATTTGAATTAAACCAATATCGAAAAATTACATTTTGTAGCCTATTCACATATTTGCATGTGATTCAGTGATCATTCACATGTTATTTCAATATTTCTGTTTTTCTTCTACTTCTATCGTAAATGTCGTCACTATTTTAAAGTGCATTAACCTACCTATATTTATTTCATAATTGTAAAGTCGATTAACATCAGATTCAACAACGTAGTATTTACTCGCATTTGTGTACTCTTAAATTTATTACTACATACCGTGATAAGTTACTGGGGGTCAGATAACGCGGAACCCCAGCGGATTTGTGTAGATCAAACTCAAGCCGAGACTGACGCTCTGGTCTTTTGGTGTTTCGTAATGACGTCTGTGCTTATCAGTTGACACCAGAATTGCGACAAGAATTACTGCATTCCTCCTTTCTCTATCCAAGCTTTTTTTACTGATTTTTTAAATTTTCAAAGAAAAAATTTTGCAGACTTTATTATAGTATATTTATTTTCCTCATTACATTTTAAATGAAAATTAATCTTATTTTCCTGTTTTGTTAAAGCTCTGCTACAAAACTTATTTTTTTATTTTTATACTGAAATTTCCATTCTACAATCGATAATGTTGCCAATCAAACTCCTTACACAGATAATATTTTGCTAAATTATTGTTAGCAATATAGTTTTTGGCATATATAATTGCTCAACATCAATTGTGGACCCTTGAACGGCAATTGATGCATATGCCTGAGAGTTGGTTAATAGTAACTTTATCAGAGAAAGACGTATTATAAATCGTACGTAGAATATATCGAACGTTTCAGATGAAATAAAATATTCTTGGAATATACTTGGAATATTACTTATCGGACATTCCGATTTACTTCTAACTTCTGTATTTCTTATCTAAATTGTCAAACAAAGATTAAAATATTATTGATTGGTAAATTGATAAAAAAATAATAATTCTCTATAGAAAAATAAATACATAAATAATTAATTTTTACGAATTCTTAATAAGTAAAATTTTATATTTCTGTAATATCATAAAAAATGTTTAAAAAAAAAAAGAAAAAAATGAAAAAAAAAATTTTCCTAATATTTATCTTTCATTCTTCTAAATTTTTTAAAGGCATTTAAATAAAAAGTGCAAGGATTAAATATAGGATTAAACAACAAAATGCACTACTATATAAATACGTATAGTTTGAACAGTATAAGTGAAACGACATTAACTATATCTGAATCAACTTCGCAACTTACGAATAAAGATCTGCGAACCTAATGCAGAAGCATTATTTGTATGCGTTATATTAAGCAACAAGTAGGAACATTCGCGGCAGCCTATTTACCTCCGGGTTAACCAGGCTCTGATAGCAGCCATATGTTTACAATTGTCTCTTCGAATTAATCTTTCCACTTCCCGCATTACTTAATATCATGATAGTGTATAAAATGCTTTGTTCTTTTTTTTTTAATCGTCACTTTCTCCTTAAACCTCACAAATATCTCTCACGGAACTGCTAACAACAATTAAAACCCACTCTTTCCTCCTAACGAAATTAAAATCGTTCATTTTTCTACACACGCACTTCTAACCACAGACATGTCCTAATCAAGTAAATCCTTGCCTTGTATTTTAATCCAGTTACAAATTGTGTGTAACTTGTATGTGTAAAATACAGTTTGTGTATTAATAATTATTTCTCGACAATTTTCTTCAGTCAGCTTAATTATTAATTACATAACTTTAAAACGCAATCTAATCCTTTACCATTTCATTCAATTTCGTCCTCATTCCTACACGGCTAGTTTAAATTCCTTGACCGAAATAAAGAAGACCGACAAACAACTGTCTGATAGATGGTGTGAGATTAAACCTTTAGGTCGTTGACTCGTTCTATTCAAAATAAACCATTTGATTTGCAAGGTCAAGCCCTCAATACTGACCTATGAGAACACATCTGTGGCGGTTCTCCAAATCTCTTTCAGTTACTCGGATCAAAACGTAACATTTATTTAGGTCATGATTACGTAGTATAACAAAGATAAATAATACTCGTTTTCTTCCGTTCGCTTGATGAAGATTTAAAAACCATTGATATTTATTGTCAATTGTGATTTGTGAAATCGACTATCTTATATATAGCGAGACTCGTAATATATCGATCATATGCTAAACGAGTTGCAGGAACGCATTTCCCGTGCTCGCTGCTACACAGCCGCAAAATCGATACCGATACTCATGAATAGAATCCTGTACGTAACGTTTTTTCAAACGTCTGAATAAACTCTGTATGGTATTTTATTAACTTTACATATACATATATATGTACATTAAATTGCAAAAGTATAAAAGAATATTGAAAGACTGATAATCAAAGAATCTAAAATATGACGCAATCTGCGAACGACTAGAACAGATTTCTTAGATTTAAAATACCTAATTTCTCCCTGCAGTCATCAAGGAATAAGATGCCTTAAGAAACGAGAGTCATATAGAAAGTATATGTTTGCGTTATACGTCAAAATGAAGAAGTTTCTCTTGTTCTCATGTCTCGGGGACTAATATTTACAGAGTTACTCAAATGAGCGTATAATTCACTTTTATCATGAATGTAAGACTCAATTAAATTAAATTTTACAATCACGTGTTGATTAGCAAGCAAAAACCGGAGAGTTTAGCGCATTTATCACAAGCATGCTTTATCAAGTGCGAATTATTAATTTAAAAAATACACTTATTTTGTTCCAATGTATACGACAAAAATAAATCATATTTTGTGTTAATTTCATGTCCCACCCGAAATTGTCCTACTGTATCGCATCGACGAAACGAGTTTTGCTCGGCCATAAACTGGCCGTTCTCATAAGCTTTAAGTTTGCTCCGTTCTGGTGAAGATAAAAACACTTGCAAGCTCACCGATAAGAGCTCACGAACCTAGCACGGACTTTTTCAAAGACGATAAGCGTCCAAAAATTAACGGCGATTATGGTGTAATTTATTATACTGTTCTGTATTTTATTATCTTATAAGAACTTTTGTGCAAAAATCAGCTGTCTCTCGACAGAAAGAAGTTCAAGAGTTTTCGCACGCAGGATGCTTAGCGCAGAGCTCGGCTCAGTTACCGCTATTTGCATCTGAAATTTGTGTTGATAGTCGACCATTTCGATGATCGATCATTATCAACGTTATTTCAAAATCCGTGCTCGACCATCATTGATGGGACCACGAATTTTGAATTTCCGTGCTCGACCATGGGATCAATTAAGCCATGGGACCACGGATGCATGGGTAACCTAGGAAAGATTATGAGGAAATTGGCGTATAGCAATAATAAATATATTTCAAATCATTAATCAAAAGTGCGCTCTTTAAATAAATTATTTCGAATGTAACATCAATTTTCAATTTCCGTCCCGTTGTGTAAAATATATCCTTCTTATTTTTAATGTATATTTACATACACATATAAATATTTCAAAATTGTCTTATTTTTATACTTTTCTACGCCAATTTATACAATATTTAACCCTGGTAAAAATACAAATCGTATTTAAAGAAAAGGAAAGACAAGGAAATAAAAGTATGCACCTAATATACGGAAAAAAGAATTTTTTTATCGCAACGAAATCATCGTTGCATATTAAATGCGATAGCGATAAAATTCAGAAAAATAGATCAACTTTGCGAAGTACATTTATTTGTAAAGATTAATTTGCTGCTACAACATAATAATTTATTTCCAACAAATGCATTTTGCTATTATAATAAAATTGTTACTGCTAATTTTGATGAGAAAATAAAAATCAATTTCTCATTATGTAATAACGACATAATTTACAAATTTAGAAAAATTATTTTCAAATCAAATTCCGTAACAAATTTCTTTGTTATCTAAATAATAAATATATGTTACTATATATTTTGCTATAGTAGCTCAAAATTTATTGCGCTAACAAATTTCTTTTTTGCGCATTTCTCATATAAAAAAATATAAATGAATAAAAATACATTATTTATTATATATACATTAATATACATATACATTAAAAATATCGTAAAAATAATAATACACACCAAATATATCCCAATATATAAGATTCGCAAAATTTGTAGCATTTTTTGTGCTATCTATAACAATTTGTGCATATATTACTGAATAAATATGGACATATCAAAAATTATTTTTAATTGTGTCATAAAAAAATTCTGCAAACTTTCCAAATAACTCAATATACATATGTATTGCTCTGATCTATTATTCATAAAATATATTCCAGGGTTAAATATCTATCAACAAATCTAAGTCCTAGCTTATCCATTTTAAAATAATAAATGTATGAAATTATTAATTTTTTTATATGAAGGTAAAAATTGTGTACTTTTGTCTTTTATTGTGTAAATATCTTGTTTTCTGTGGAAAATTACATAAATAATAGAACATTTTAAAAATCTCATATGATTATCCAAATTTTTGCAATGTATTCATTTTATAAGCGCTTGGAAATTTGCAACTATTATAATGGGTCCTAAAATTACCTATAATAGTTGTAAAAAATAGGTCTAAACTTTTTCATAGTGTACGCAACAGATAATGATAAAAAAGGGAAAAAAGATGGAAAACTGTGAGGAGTAATAAGGGAGATAACACGCCGATACGCGAAACAATCTGCTTCACTCAAACATCACCGTGCGAATAGGAACAGGAGCAAACAACAAGGTCGCGCTGAAGGATCGAAGTGTAATTTGGAAGGAGTAAGAGAAAGGAATGTACGTGTGATACGCGTGCGAAAGAGAAAGTGCGAGAGTGAGGGAGAGAGGATATAGCTCACATAGCGCGTACGAAAACAATAACAGACCTAGCAAACCCCTCTTCGTCATGACGTCAGCGTCGAAATTTCTTACATGATACAAAATATTTAGCATATTACAAGATATTCCTTGCGTTCCAAATTTTAATTTTAATAAATGGTTTACTATTGTATTTCTCGTTTTCTCTACCGCATTCTTAAAATATCTTGTATTGTATCGTATTCTTAAAATTTTTTAAATTATGGTATTTTGCAATTAATAGGTAATAAATAAACGAGAAATACCTCAAAGTTGCTCCGCTGATGCCCGATGCCCGTCCTGAGCTTCGTCCTCTCTTTTCACAATCAGTATGGAAATATAATTCACTTGCGAAAATCCGATTAATTATTATCGCGCGATATTTTATACGACACTCCCGACGCGTACTTTGTCACATAAAGACAAGATAATACTCGGATACCTAACCATCGCACAAATACGTCCGACATTATAGAAAACAACGGAAAAATATTTGTAAAAAGTAATATCATCGCCCGGAATAGAATAACTTTAAAGGTTACGTACAATGAGAGAGTAGTAAAGATGTAGTATGGAAGTTATTAGAATTATTTAAATGATAGAAATAACGCGCAGATGTGCTCCGATACGCGGTTTGTCTTATACGAGTCGCCGTGCAAATAACGACAAGCGAATAATAGCAAAAATAAGGTAGCGCAGATTTTGATTTAGAGGAATGCGAAGAATTGCGCGCCAACACACAACACAAGAGAGAGAGCAAATAAGTAGGAAAGAGAGGGAATATAGAATTGCGCGGGCTACGTGCGACGACGCAGCGCCGCCACACGACTCGGTCTCGAAGTTTTATTTCCTTTCTCTCTCACTCTCTTACGCTATGTATCGGCGCTTACATTCTACGAATTCTTTCAAATTAAAATTTACGCAAACTTGCTTTTGGTATTATTCTGTTATCTTTCGCACGGCGACACTCGTACGGAGTGAATCGTGTATCGGAATGTATCGGCGCATTCTTACATTTAACCATCCCAATAACTTTTATACTATACTTTTTATTATTCACCATGTTGTGCGCGTCTCGTTTCAGGCAATACAAGTTAAAAACTACGCCACCAAACGACTCAACCTCGAAACTCTTTTTATCGACGAAAGCATTTCGATCTAGTTCCAGCATTTAACAATAGCGTCGCTGTTATTAATATCTCAGGTAGTGATGGGTCTTCCGAATTCCTTCCAAATTGTTATAAGCGTCCAGGGGGTCGTCACTCCTCGAATTTTTCGGGGACGGAAGTCAGGTTTGACGGTACAACCGAAGATCGCAGCACTGTCGGCCGCGACTTGGAACGGTTGCTTAACAGTTGCAAACAGTTCGGTTATCTGTCATTTTGTCATATTTTGTGGTGCTCAATGTGATTTTGCCGGTGTGACAAAAAGAATTTTTGTGTGCATAGCAGCTGACAGCAGCTGACAGCAGTTTTTAGCAGCGTTCACGAAGAAATTTTATTAGGAAAAATACCTAAAAAAATTTTTATTTTTTAAATCTTATTTTTCTTATTTTTATCTTTGTAACCTATTTGGTTACCTTACTTTTAATTTATTTTTATTATTATTTTTCTGTTTCTTGTATTATTTTTATTATTAATTTTAGATTTAAGTTGTTTATAACATTAGTTATATTAAATTAATTGTTTTAAAGCTAAGTAATTATATATATATAATATTATACATATAAAATTTATATAACAAATAAATGTTATGAAAACTAAGAATAATGTCTCTCTAATTTTACTTATAATTAATAATAATCATAATTAATAATAATAATGAGTCAGTAATCAGTACAGAAATGTGTGTATATATATATATATATATAGGTTATATGTTCCCGCGCGTCCCGTTAGTTCCTTATTTCCGATGGTACAAGGTATGGTGGCGCTGAAACCGGTCCCCCCATTTTAGCAAGAGCGAGTGTCGACCCCCTGATAAGCGTCATAGTCGGTCATAGTGCCGTAGTGTGTCAGAGTCAGAATGTAATAAGGAATATAACGCTTGTAATTACAGAGAAACAAAGTAAATGTGTAAGGAAGATTAATATATCTATATAACAATATAGGCTATATTTAAGGCTCTATATAACAATATAGGCAACGAGGGCTATTTTTTAAATATTTCCTCTGTAACTGTGCAAAATATATAAATATACACAATAAAAAGTTAACTGACTGTTGAGGCATGTAAAAAATAAATATTAATATTTTAAAGACTCATATAATATTTAACGTAATTTCAATGTTGATCAGTTAATTTCTATTCTGAATTTGATGTTTTAAAAATGTGTTTCTTCAATTAAATTACAGGTATATGCATTTATAATATTAAAACTATAACTTTCTGAATTTTCTAATTTACAATTTTTACAGAGTTTCTTGTATATGTAATAATTAATTATATATATTGTGGGTATTGAAATATGATCTAACGATATTTTCATATTTCAGATCAAAAGATACACTTGATCCATTGTTTTATATAAAAATTCTTAATTTTCTGAAATTATGTCAACATTAGAGGATAAAATTTTGGGAGAGAAGTTGCACTACTATTGCAGCAGTTCCAGTGAAGATGAGGAAAATGATTCTGGAGAGTCTGATAAGGAATATGATGATGTAAAGTATACTGAGGACAATGCACAATATGTTACACCTTCGTATTCAGAATGGGATGGGACCTCCAGTAACACTGGGCCTAAAGGAGTTATAAAGGTATAAAAGTAAAGCTATGTTCAAGTTTCATTTTTTAAATATTAAATATGAGAGCATAAATTTTAATGTTAACTTGTTAAATTAAAATGTTTTTGGAAGGATTGGCAACGTTATAAGCAGCTGGAAGCAGAAAAGCGAGAAGCTCGAGAGAAAGAAAAGTTGCAATTGATTAAGAAACTGAGTTTATCATGTCGTAGTGCTTTGGATGAAGAAAAAGAAAAACTGAACGAGACAGATCCAGATTTGGCAAATTTAATAACCGATAAATTCCTTTTGAAATATCAAAGACAAAGGATGAAGGAAATGCTTGCAAAAGCAGAGAAGCTTTGCTTTGGGAAAGTTATTGATTTACAAAGCGCAGATCAATTTTTAGAAGCTATCGATGAAGAAGACAAGTCAGTGACTGTTATTGTTCACATTTATGAAAGCAATGTACCTGGTTGCGAAGCTATGAACGGATGTTTGGTATCTCTTGCAGAAGATTATCCTCATGTGAAGTTCTGTACAATCCTAGGTTTGTTAAATTATGTATAAGTATTCTTAAGAAAGAAATCTCACATTTATTTTTATTAAAATTAAAAAAAAATCTTATCTTATTTTTTCTTATAATCCATTTTTCTTTTAGGATCAATTGCAGGTCTCAGTAAACAATTCAAAAAGTTTGGTGTGCCAGCATTACTGGTGTACAAAAAAGGACAAGTGATAGGAAACTTTGTACACATGACAGAGCATCTAGGAATAGATTTTTACTCATCAGATGTGGAAGCATTTCTCATTGAACATGGAATGCTTGTCGATAAAAATTGCGTACCTCCTATCGTTTTGAAGAATGAAAACAAAGCTACTGATAGTGAATAAAAAGTTTTATCTTTAATATAATTTATCAAGGTACATAAATTATATGAAGTAACTTATTAAGTAAAACCTATGATAAAATATTAAAGAAACATTATAATCAAAGAAGCATTATATGCAAATGCAAATTATAAGATAGAAATGTAGAAAATTTCTTTTAGTCTTTCTCGCATCACATTCTTAAATAAAATACTTTTTAATCAATATTAAAATTGCGCTTAATTTATAGTTATTTAATCATGTCCAAGAGTTGCTTTTTCTTTTTGATTGCGTTGCAAAGCTGTGTGTAGTTTTTCAGCACTTGATCGTATTCGGTGTTTTTCAAATTATCATAAAGCTTCTTTAAATCCTCTTTTTGGCGAATTTCATCCATGACTGTGTTTAATTTATCTTCGATCAATTGGTTTATCATTTTGAAAGCATTTTTAGTAATTGGAGTTTCCTTGAACATTCTAATTGTGCAAGAAAGTTTTGTTATCTTTGCTTGCAACTCTGAGACTTGCACTTGCAGTAGCAAATGTGTTGTCTTGTCTAAATATGCTTGGTTTAGGTCCTCATACTTCAGTTTATTCCACTTATCAATTAAACTTGCGTATTTCAATAAGTCGCTTTCATATTGCTGAATATATTCTTCAATTTTGCGCCACCAATGTAATGCTGGTACATCATGGCAATCCAAGAATTTGCTACGTATATCACATTCATTATTCTTCGAGACTTTTTTAGCATTTCCACCTATAGTTTCATATCTGTAATACACAGAAATCAATAACTTTTTTACAAACTTTTACATATATATTAATAAAAATTAATAAAAATTATGTAGAAACTAATAAAGATTATGTACATATTCTGATTTGTATTAAATTAATAAAATTATGAAAAAATATTTACCTTAATAACATATCATGTATTCTTTCTCGGAGTATTGTTTCAATACAGCATCTCACATCTGATTTCTCATCAAGAGTTAAATCAGACGCAGGTAAATTAGTAATTCCCAAAAGTGTCAGATCATCTTGCACATATTTTGTTGACGAAGGAAGATGCATGTACTTGTCAAGTTCATGAATCAAAAGCAATGCTTGCAACTTGCTAGCTGTACTCCTCGATAGAATATTACTATGGTTCAGAGATGCTTCCTTCACACACTGATAGACAATGTTGGCTTTTATATGCTCATTGATACTTTCTTCACACAATACCAAAGACTTTACAACTTTCTCATTTGCATTTATTTCTTGACTTGTTGATGATTTATTGCTACTTTTTATGATACTAGAGTGATTATCCAAAGAACTGTACACTGAGTCTATTCTTTCAATTAATCTGTTGCTAGAATAAGAGTTTGTCGAAATACTGGAAATATCTGAAAGCAGCATAAATCACAAAATTTTATATAATATTACATAAGAGATATATAAATACAAAGTTTTTAAGGTAGCAGGGTTATTAATAATTGCTTTAATCTTATTCACATTGATATGACTTTAGAAGTAAACATTTATTACTCACCTGAGAATTGATGGAAATCATTGAAAAAACTCATGACTTTATTTTATTTAATAAATTATTTATATTTAACAAAATCACTATTTAAGAAAAAAAGAGCTATAGAATTTAACATACAATACGTAAAAATAATCAATGTTTCTTTCTGTTTTATAATTATGTGATTCTGTTACAATATATTTGTCCAATATTTAAAATAAATATCAGTTGAGCCACAAATTGGGAGACATCTGCACGTCAATTGTAGTGTTGCGGAGAGGTTACAAGAATTTCACTATATCCAATCAAATCATTGGAAATCGTGTCAGTTACCAGCAGTTACTGTCAGTTATAGTTGCAGATACTCTCGTAACCAGAATCAGATGACGCTAGAATCTATGTATACAAAATAGAAGTTTCCACTTGGCTGTTTGACAGTGAATCAGTATGACAATGTTGTTTGTAATAACGAAATAAAAAATGGAAGATGTTTAGCGTAATATGTCGTAATCTAATTATGTGGCATGAGTTCTTCCGCTGTTCTGGTGTCCCTATGCGTTATTCGCATCGAAATTTGTGATCCAGAATTAGAAGAGACTGCCAGTAAGTATAAAAATATTGTATAATTTATTAGCAATTCATTCTTGATACTTTTCATATTTCAATGTTATAACACTGTGGATTTGAAATATTTTTATTAAAAAATTAAACATTAATTTAATTTAATTTATATTTTATTAAGTGATAAATAACCTATTGTATGTTTATAATTTACATTTATACCATTTATAAGTAAAAACACTTGTTTAATAAAGCTTTAACAATTTTAAATTGTATTAACCAGATAATTACATAAATTTATTGTATTGTAGGTACCATGGCTGCAAGAAAGATGAGAGGTCGTAGAGAACCAAGAGATATTAATGTAGAAACTTATACAAATGTGACAGAAAACACATCACCGTTGTTATCAAGTCAAAGCACAAGCAAATCGCATTCTTCATCAAGAGCTAATTCTGAAGAGACAGCATTCTCAAATTCTAACCATGTCACAAGTTCTGGTTCAGAAACTGGTGCTACTGCTTGTACCTCGCCTGATCAAATAAGTTTTATTTCTGGAAATCCCTTTGTCGAAATTACAAAAGGCATTCTTCATCTCTTCAAGGAAGAGTAAGTCATTTCTTGTAATTAACAGCTTTAAAGTGATACTAATTCTATATCTTTTTAATACAGTGAATTGACGGAAATGCGTAGTGCTGCAGACCGCAGTCACACTATCTGTATCTTGTCAGTGCCAGCAACAATGACTTGCCATGATCTTTTAACTTTCACGGCAGCTTGTCATCAGGATATACAACATTTCAGAATCCTTAGAGATGGTAGTCCTAATCAGTACATGGCTTTAATCACCTTTAGATCATCAGTGAGCAAATTAGTTATAAAAATGATATCCAAAGTTCATCAAAATCCACATGACAAGTTTTTATTGGATTTCAGAATGCAGCAAGCGAGTTCTATGAGACTTTCAATGGTGCTCCCTACAATTCTTTAGAACCAGATGTAGTTTGTCACATGGTATTTGTATCCAAAGTAGAAGTAGGAGACAATGGAATGCCCTTGAGTGGACATACAGAGTTGCCGTCGTGTCCAGTTTGTCTGGAAAGGATGGATGAGAGTGTGGACGGGATTTTGACGATACTGTGTAATCATACTTTTCATTCAAGTTGTCTTGTAAAGTGGGGTGACACATCTTGCCCAATCTGTCGATATGCCCAAACACCAGAGCCATTAGCCGACAGCCGTTGCATGGAATGTGGTAAATGTTGCATTAAGAGAATTGTTTCACATTTTTCTACTAAATTCAAATATTTTCTTTCCTTTAAACATGTTTTTTATGAATTTTTTCAGTTGCGGATACTAGCAATGATGCATTGTGGATATGTCTGATCTGCGGCCACGTAGGCTGCTCGCGTTATCACCAGGGTCACGCGTTTGAGCATTATCGGGATACGCACCATTGTTATGCGATGCAGTTGGGTAACAATCGCGTCTGGGATTACGTAGGCGATAATTTCGTGCATCGATTGCTGCAGGACAAAGACGGTAAAATGGTAGAAGGCGGTCACACCACAACTAAAGGCGAGGGTGCGGCTGTAGAAGAGAAAGTCGACTCCGTGCAATTGGAATTTACGTATTTATTAACATCTCAGTTAGAAACGCAACGAGAATACTTTGAAGAGAAGCTTAATCGCTTGGAGCAACGTTCTATGGCAGACATCACCGAATTAAGGGATAAGTTGGGAGAAGTTCTTGAGGAAAATTCACAATTCAAGGTAAATAATCCTTAAAATTGATAAATATTTTATTTTTCTCTTTTTTTTATCATGTTTCTTCTCTTTTTCTGTTGCTTTCTTGTTCTTTATATTAGCTAGACTACAAAAATCTCTATTTTTTTTTATTAGAAACAATTTACAACACTCAGTCGCGACAAGCAGACGCTGGAAAAGCGTTTGCAGCATTCTACCAACAAGTTGACGCAACTACAAGCGGATTTAACAGAGGAGAAAGATCTGCGAAAGGCTCTGCAACTCAACCAAACATCCTGGCAAGCAAAATACAAGAAATTGCAAGACGAATTGTCCGAATTAAAAACTACCAAAGAAACAGAAATTACTGATTTGAAAGAACAAATTCGGGATCTCATGTTTTTTCTTGACGCACAAAAACAAATTGAGGAATCCGTCGATCGAGAAGAAATCGCCTCTGGTCGTATTGTCATTCCCCCGCCGAGTCCCAAAGCCGGAAAATCATCAGGATCTCGAGTGCATAAGGGTCACAAGAAACATTAACATCGAGAAGCGCTCTTCTCCTGTAATTGTTCAATGCTAATTTATGTCACGAAGAAAAAGAATAGAAATATTTTTATTCTATTATTATTTTATAATAGAAATATATTTATTACAAATATTTTATGTTTCAGGTTTTGTTTTTCCCTTCCCGTTATATTTTTCAATACACTACACTCACTGCCGAAACAAAATTAATCAAAGTTGATCGAATTCGGTGATACAAATTAAGCGGAGAGGAAAAATGACACTAATCTACTTGCGTCATTAAATAAAAGGTATTTATTTTTATTTTTAGCATCATATATCTTCGTCCCGTTTGAATGTCGGATTATCATACTGGAATTGATTAAAATTTGATGTACTAGGCTGCAGATTATGCAAAGTATGATTATTCGAAAGCGTTGTCAAGTTATCAGCATTATCATAAATGCCATATGCTTTTGTCTCTGTTTTTCCTCTTTCTAAATGTGTTGATCGTCTTCGCTCAATAGCGCTAAACTCGCTTTTCGATATTCGCGAAGACATGCGCCGCGACAAACCTGTAAAATATGAGTCTTCGATAAAAAAAAAAAAAAGTAACATAAAAATCAAATGTGACAATTAATGCTACAGCATTGATATAAAAATGTATCTGTAACATATAAACAAGAGAAGTTATACCCGACTTATTTGGATCACGAAGCATTCCTCGAAACAGCTTTCCCCAGTTCCCGAATATCCTCAATGGTCCTTGCGGATTTTCCGTCAACTCGTGTACGGTCCTTCGCCTGCTGGGGGAAGTCATGGTACTTCGCCTGAGTTCGAAAATCAAATTGTCGTCTGCCATGCGTTGAACCTCCTGCGCTATCATATCAACATACTTTTGGAAGGTGTCATCTTCCGAAATCTGCGAAAATAAAAACAGCCGATTGTAGAACCCCCAACACCCCAAATTTTTTTCAAAAATTTACGAATTTTGAAAAACCGCCTGGAGGGATCCAAAGATCTCTCGGTACCCTTCCAATAAGGTCCTATGGTCCGATCTTCTATCTCCTATGGTTTCCGAGTTTTAAGCCCCGATAACCAAAAAATCGGCGACGAAAAAGAGCTATAACTCCGTAAATATTCGTTGCCCGCTATATGTTCATAGGACCAAAGTTGCTTGTCTCGACGAGACGCATCGACGTAGGTACTCGGTTTCAAACAAAATATGGTGGCGACCCATAACCACCAACACCCCAAATTTTTTCAAAAATTTACGAATTTCGAAAAACCGCCTGGAGGGATCCAAAGATTTCTCGATACCCTTCCAATAAGGTCCTATGGTCCGATCTTCTATCTCCTATGGTTTCCGAGTTTTAAGCTCCGATAACCAAAAAATCAGCGACGAAAAAGAGCTATAACTCCGTAAATATACGTTGCCCGCTATATGTTCATAGGACCAAAGTTGCTTGTCTCAACGAGACGCATCGACGTAGGTACTCGGTTTCAAACAAAAAATGGTGGCGAGACATATTTATGTGGAAAATTTTCGAAAAGGTTTAGGTTTCTTAATAATTAAGAAACCTAAACCTTTTCGAAAATTTTCCTCGGCTTTCTCTTAAAATAAATCCGTATTTCGTATTTCTGATAATATTTTTGATAAATTTATTTGGAAAAAATTACAGAGAACTTGTTGGAAGAAAAAAATAAGTATTTTGTAAGTAAACGGGTTTTTAAAAATATAATTACCTTAGTGAAGAAAGGAAGTCTCGTGTTGGCGAGCACGTGGGAAAGAGTGCCGAATCGATGGACCAACATAGCACAAAACTGAATGCCTAATATGCTGATGAATGCGGCAATAAATAAACATCCAATCGGTTCGAGTCTTAAGTATTCTTTTGCCACATATACCTGTAGAAAATTGATAAATAATGCAGCAATAGTAATTAAAAGTTAACTAGTTTAAATTATAATTCAGAAAAGTTTAAAACGAAGAAGAGGGAATTGCACAATTTGTGTTATTCCAGGCACGCGAGCAATTCAATAATAAAAGAAAAAATAGTATTAAATATAATTATTATATGAAATTATTATTAATAAAATGCGCGCTATAATTATTAATATAAATATTTACCTCATTCCTTTTTGTATCGTATGTAACATTGTACTTCATGCTTAGCGGCCATTGCATATGCAATGTATCTTTATTTAACTGCATAAGAAACACAATTAGCACGAACAGGGCATTAATCATGAAGAATTTTAGTAAATACGCATCGCGGCAGCTTATCAGTTCCTGGACTATTTTGTTCTAAAAGAAATATAATTAAAGAGTAAGCCATCGTAAACAAAATTCCATACATTGTTCTCACTTATTTTTCTTTTCTTTTTTTTTTCGCGAGATTGAACTAAATCGTGCTTACCTGACTCTCTTCATCGGTTTCGATGGGCCGCAAGTATTTTCCAATCAAGTTCTTCCAAAATTCCTCCTCGAGGTTTGACAGAAAATTTACGTCGCCCCTTCGCATTCTTTCGTCCTGAAGCCAGTAAGGACTAATAAGAAAGTTGGAATGGTCCTGGCTCAAAGTTGTTGACACGTGCGTTAGAACGTCGCTTTCGTCTTCATCAATATCCTCGTAGCTCTCATTCTCTTGATCACTCTTGTTTGTCATGTGCTGCAGCTCGATTTCTTCGGGCACCTCCTCTTCTACTGGAAGATACGGTCTCGGGTAGATATTAGCATTGGAAGATGATTGTGCAGCGTTACTAGTCTCCATCTTCGTTGCATGTAATCTGTAATTACTAATTAGATTGTCCATGCTGTAGTGTAAATTTTATCCTGATGATGGTGTGATAAATAAAGCTTGAACGTCAACGGAATTAAAAGGAAGTTTTAGCAAGATTTAGCAAGGCAATGATTATAAATAATAATCTTTTTTTTCAAACCTGTCCAGTAAATCCAAATGTTTATTTATTTGCTGTAAAGAATCGTTGATCTCGAGCAATCGCTTCTCCTCATAACTGATTCCTGTATGAATGCAGCAGACACATTTAAAGAGATCTCCCAAGGAAAACTCCAATGAACCTTTTTTATTGTTATTATCTTGGTTATTAAATTTTCCCGCCAAGAATCCGGGTAGATGGCTGGTTGCCGCGGGTCTCGTCTCATCTTGAGGCTTCTTTATTTTTTATTATAATTGTAATAATTATTTTTTTAGAATTTATTCAACAGAATCTAAAATACTTTTACATAGAAAATAGCTGAAGGAAAATTTTTGATTTTGTTTGTTTTGTAATAATTAAAAAAATGCGAATAATGCTAAACAAGTGAATGTTGTTTTTAAGAGAAGTTATTTATAACTATGATAAATTCTCCTCGTTATCATTTCCTAATTATTTACTATAATACATTTAATCTATATTACTAAATAAATCGAGTTTAGCAAACAGCAGACACTTACTACAGTCGGCTTTTTCGAATCCCGCGTGCCCCATGTGACGTTGTGCACGTTGAAGACGGAAAAGATGATCAACAGCATGTACATGGATGGCACAGTGATGTAGTAAATAACACCGCATAATAAACAGGTCGCTTCCTGAGGATGTAATAGACCAGCCACTATCAGCTGACCCGCGACAATGAAAAAGAGAAGGCTGCTCGGTGCGAGCCATCCATCTTCGGCGATTTGCAGCATAATTCCCACGAGGACGATTACCATCACCAGTCCGTACACAGCGCTGATAATTTCGGCTACTAATAACTGCATAAATCCATATTAGTAACGTGCTATCAATAAATAAATCTTTCGCATATCTTTCAAAATCTTGTCATTTTCTTCAAATATTATTGGAGTCGCATACCTGCATGCGCTCCTTGCAGGTGAAGCAAATGCCGATGAATGTACATAATGGGATCAGATTGTACCAGAAACTGGTCCAGTTGTCGATGTGAAACGCGGCAACGAACGCGCCAACCAACATTAAAAATATTGTGCCCGGTCCCAGAATTGTACTTCCTTCAAAAACCATCGATAAGATATGATCATTTAAAAATTATTAATGTTGCGTCGCTAATATATATATTTATATATCAAAGACACACCTATCAGAATCCACTGATAAGCGATGTATATCCATGAGATATCGTTGTTTACTTTCGTCGTTTCCTTGGAAGTCAATAAATCAAATATATTTGCGACAGTGGATGGAATCCATCTACGACGTTGTATGTAAAAATCTCTAAAGATTTCCGGTGCATGAGTATACGCATCACTTGCCGCTGAATATTCAACCTGATAAAAGCAAATTAATTCTTTAATATGCTTTGATTTTGGCGAAAGAAATATTTCGAGAAATAATTGAAATATTATGATTATAATATTATCATATGATTTTATTATTCCTCCTTGATTTTCTTAAAAAGTGACGATTTACTCGAGAGCCCACTTGGAGTAGCAATGTACAGAGCCATCGATCTTCGCCTTGATCGTACTGAATATAATGTCTGGCTTCGCTCGATTTCGTGGCATATTTCGCCATCACGTTATGCTGCATTAACGCTTTCGCTCTAAAGAGTGAGAAACAGCCGGGGCTGCACAGAACGGAGCCGATCGTATGCTCTGTGGATTTTTGCAACCAGTGACCGATGGCATACTCAAACTTTTGGAACCAAACTATTGGACCTACGATAAAACACTTAAGAATTTAAAGCAAAGCAATTTTCCTGTCATACGCGAAAGTTGCATAATTTAACAATTAAGCAAAATAAAAAATTAAGATGTTTGTTCAATAAATAACGAACTTTTTTTCGTACATTAATTGTGATGAAAACCTGAGTATATTTCTTCGACTCTAAACAATTAAAACAGTACTGAACTAATTCTATCGTCTTAGATTATATGCTAGAATGTCTACTACTTGGAAAAATCTGAAATCCTTTCAAGGAATTTTTTTCTATCTGCAGAATTCAAAGAATTTTTATCGAAGCTCAGAGAATTTTTGTTGAAAATGTTTCTTCGAATATTTTTTCCTAAAGAAATTAAAGATTTCTCAAGGAATTTTATTAGAATTCAGGGAATTTCTATTGAGAATGTCTCTTTAAGAATTTTACTTTCATTTTGCGATCGCCCTTTAATTCCTTTCAGTATTTTTTCAAACTTTATATTTGAAATCTCAATAGCTGTCTTAATTCTTTCTTCATAAATATAAATAAAACACATTGAGAAGCTCATAAAAAATAAATTTGTCTTATTCGTGCCCAAAAGTCAGATCAAAAGTGCTTAGAGAATCATAAAACTCTCGAAGGAGATTTTTTTCAAGATTTGAGTAAACATGTTGCACATACTTGACATTAATTTATTCTTGCATACCTGATCCAACCGGATGTATTCGGCCGCATGCAGCACCGAGATCCTTATCCTTTTTCATCAAGTCCACCAGAACCTTGACAGCGGCCGGTCGGAAGTCGATATCTCCGTCCAGTGTAAGAATATACGTGTTCTCAGCAATGATTTCTTTTCGATCCACGTCGATGGACAGACCCATCAGACGATAACCCAGAAGATAGTACATATACATGACCTTAAAAAATAATACAAGGTATTTTTTAAATCGCGGATTCAAGAATGTGTAATTATGATATACTTACCTGGCTCCACCGTTTCCTGTGTCTAATTTTATTTTTGTCTTTCAAATGAACTATCAGTTCAGTTTCACCTGGCAATCTCCATACGAGACGACCTCCGTAAGGCGTCGGATATTTAGTGGGTGGTGAGGCAGGCATACCCAAGTTTTCCACATTTTTTTGGACCGTCTCTACCAGTGTCATCACGTAGTGATTAACTTGCGTCTCGTCCTCATCGTGATTGCACAAATCAACGCAGCCGTGCATGCAGCAAAATGCGTCGTCAAAGAAAATGTGCGCTAATATAAAAAAAAAACATGTGCAGTCTTCATTAAACAATTTAAAATTCGGCGAGTACAAGTGGAAATTTAATTAAAGTAACAATAAAATTTTGCAATGTGTTATTAAAGTTTTAATTATAATTGTCGATTCGTTAATGACTCACTCTGCAGATCGTAATAATCTTTGATGTGAACGTCGTAATGATGCTGCGTGATACGCATTGCACATTGATCCTTGTCCAATCGCAAAATACTGCCCACTAAGTGGTTCATTTCACTTTTCTCTTCGTGCCACATCGTAGCACACGCGTAAATTTTCGTAACTCGATCCTTACGTTTATCATGTGCCATATTCATCTCCTTTCTGTCAAAGTCCTGTTCGGTCCATTCGTCTAAGCCAATATCTTCGAACATAGTGTCGGAGAATCTCAGATCGGCATCCTGAAACTTCAATGAATTAACATAATAAATAAAATTCTGACGATATGTTTAACTACTTACTGAAAATTCAGAACTATTGTTTTTTTCCTCGTTGTCTTCGTCAGCTTTTTTATTTTGCGTTCTTCTATTCATCGCCAAACATTGGTCAATCATAAGTGAATCGTAAGTGATTGTAGAGAAAATCCTGTCTGCCAGTGCTAATCTTTCGTTCTCGGTGGTCCACAAATGCATTGTGATCCATAATTGTGATATCATCCACATTGGCCAGAACCAAATGTACCACGTATCATTAGTAAAAAGTTCACCCCAATTTTTGAACACAGTTTCACCAAAGAAGAAGCAATCCGGAAAAGCTATGACGTCGCGAAAAGCGCAGACGTCTTCATTTCTGGCAGTGCACAATGCCAAGATCAAACACACTGCTCCCGGATTAGCTAAATTTGTTGGAAACGCGAAGCCGAACTGGTGCATATGAGTTTTGTACGCAAATTTGCCTAAAATTGTTCACCAAGAATTCAAGAATCAAAAAATCTAGTCTGCGAGAAAAATAAAAATATTTAAACTGGATGAATGAAAAAATCTATCAATAAATTTCTAATTTGAAATAAATCCTTTCAGACATCAATTAAATTAAATTATAGAATTATAACATAAATTAGAATTATAAAGAGTTACAAAAAGAGATAAAAGATTAAATTTAATCTTTTCAATGTCTTTTACAAATTTTTTTATATTTTTAATAATTTTTGGAATTTTTATAGTGTTTAAATCTGTGCTGGATAAATACTTACAGGATTGATACATTATCATGGCGAAAACAGCTTGAATCATAAACACATAAAGAGGTACATTGTAAGATGCCATTAAAGTGTGTCTTTTTGTATTATTAGCGAAATAATCGAAAAATCCATCATATTGGGAAGCGTTTGGAATTAGGTTGATCTCTGTTGTAGTTAAACTTGGTGAGAAGAAGCTTTTGGCATCTATATTATTGCATACGCTAACGACGAGAGCACCAATGATGAAAATAAAAATCCTCCAGAAGGATACATATCCTTGTACAATGTGTTGACTCGGCTGAAGATTCTCTTTCACGGACGATAAGAATCGCACGAAACCTGTTTTAATCGTTAAACAGTCATTAAGCAATGATTTACCTTCAATATTTCAGATTAGATAATGTGGCTCTATTTACGCGGATTAAATTGTAAAGATTTGCTTTTAAATAAACTACATTAATTTTTAGTAAAGATTAAAAAACACGACAAAAATTTATACGCACCAATGTTGCTATAGAACGATACATAATTGCTCCACCAACGAATTGAGCATAATATGAGTGCGATGGGAAAGAGCCACGTTGAACCTTTATTACTGATATTCTGGATTAAGAACCATAAGAACAAACCGCTAATTTGTGCAACTAATGCCAGCACATCAAGAATTATATATAGTCTCAATTTGCTTGTCGATAAATTTTGGTTCTCTTTATTTCGCGAGAGTAGATCTAGCAATAATAATGTCGATATTCAATAAATAAGGCAGCGAGTAATTAAACTTAAATTTAGAAAAAAAATAACTATTGAAATCTACGCTAGTAAAAAATTTATATATATTACTTTATTAATTATGTGAAAACTTACTTAATAATCCTGGTATAAAACATAAGCAACAGAAAATAGCGACGCCTTGCACCGCGCTAATTTTTGGTAGGATGACAAAAACAAACAACACTAAACCAATCGTATGTAATGTTTCTATCAGAATCATAAACAGCATGTTTCGATTCTTCGGCATTTTACATTTTCTTTTAAATAAGTAATGCCATACTGTCTTTAAAACGCCGATGCATTCCGGTACAATGAATATAAAATCAAACACCAAGTCCATTTTATGCGTATATCATCTTGCGTACGTTTAGTCAAGTATTTATCCTCTTCAAACTCTAAAAAAATTAAGAGTTTTACATAAAAATATATTTAGTTGAAAAGGATTGATCAAACATATGGTAAAATGTGATGAGATATACATCGATGATATATTTACATAAATTTACGATAAGATAATGTGCGTGTTTGATGTCATCCCTTTCAATTTCTAGATTAAAATCATGAACTTTTTTTTTCTATTAATTTATATAATTTTTCCAATATTATTAGGCTGGTACAAAAGGTTTGTCGTATTTTTCAAATAAAATTGGAAACTAATTTTTATGAATCACAATAGTTACGATTGACTTTAATATGCCTTTTGCATCTGGAAATAAGATTTTGTATGTTTAATTTAAAAAAACTTCGCGAGCTAAAATAAAAATCAATAAAATAGATTTTCGTGAAACAAGAAATTTTTTGGACCACCCTAACAATAATTTTAATTATACTTCTTAATTAAATATTAACTTACGTTTTCTTACATTTTTATATAATTTTTTATTATTCTTTATTTATTTTAATCAAGTTATAAATATAAAATTCATCAATTAAATTGAATCCAATTAAAGTTTTAAAATTTAATTAAATCTGAATTTTGGAACTTGGAAATTATTAGAACATTTATAATTTTTTAATTACATATTCTAAATCAAAACCTTACTTGAATTGCAGTCGTTGCGATAGAGCAAATGTGTATTACCTTGCAACTGCGAAGTTGCAAATAGAACAGCTGATTTAGCCACAATAGCGCTGCATAAAACAATGATGAATAATAAGCCGTAAATGAACATCTTTAGAATACGAACAGTAATCTCAAAAAATCTATTATTTTGCATAGATCCACTTTCCGTTTGAGTAGGAAAAGATTTGAACACGTCCCATGGCGGAATGTCTTCACGTACACTGCAAACCGCATAAAATAAATTCGTCTGTACGGATCTACTAATTTTAATCCATTTATTTTTTGATAAAATATTAATTTTCTAAATACGTACCCCATTTCTTCAGTTTCGTCGACATCGAAGTTGCTGTCATTATGGTAATTGCTGAAAACACTTCTCGGTCTGTCTTCTCTTATCTTTTCCTGGTTTATTGACGACATATTTGTGAATCTCACGACTTATAATCGACAACTGCCGAAATTAATTTATCGTGATCGTGATGCAATTTTTAGACCCACCACCGATAGAAGTATTATTATCGATGCCATGATAAGACTAGATAAGATTCGAAATTAGGGTCAATTCCAGGAGAATAACAGTATATTTCCGATTATATGTATTCTTTTTATTTTAATGTCTGACAAACGATATACATAAAGTTATGATACCTTGTTTACATTTTCAGGTAAAATAAAGAATTTCTAACGCACTTAACATTGAAGAAAATAAAAAATGACGATATATATAGCTTTATGCTCAAAGCTCAACAATAAGAAAATAGAGTATATCTCTAATAAATCCCCTATCCATTAATTTTTCGCCGATTATATGAAGTTGTATGCTGCATGTTTACTTCGTGACACCAATGACACCGCAAGCGAGACGAGCGCCAGCGTTACCGGTTGTCTTTGACAGCTCGTGGCCACCCTGGCCAAGATCATCAGGATCAGCATGAACCTAAAAGTTTGAGAAAATAAAGAAATTCTTGCCGTAATTTTGTGAAAAATGAATTAAACGAGGCTTATAAATATGTACCACAAGAGTTCGTCCAATGACACTGTGTGCTCCGGTAAGTTGGATCTGAGAGTCAGAGATTGACCTTAGCCACACCATCAGCGCTAGCCTCCACGTTTCCTAAATCACCAACGTGACGCACAGAATGGCTTGGACCACCGTGCTCTTTTCCCAGTGGATTGAAGTGAGCACCAGCGCTTGTGCAACCTATAAAAGAATACATAGGAATACATAATACATAATCTTACATAATCTTACATAATATGGCCTTGTATTATAAATAACCTGATATCTTTATTAAAACCAAAACAAAATACAAAATACTGAGATATTTCATATATATTCTCTATCCTGTGATTGCATTATCAACAAGTCAACAGATATTGATATCGTATATATTCATCCTTAATTAGCTTGTTACTAACTACTGATTTCCTTAACTTTAACTTGTTACTAACTACTGATTTCCATTAACACTTTAACTCTATACATAACCCAAACATACCATTGGTATTATCACCAAATTCATGAACGTGGAAACCGTGCAAGCCCTTTTGCAAGCCAGATACCTCTCCAGTCACTTTCACTGCATTCGAACCATCCTGCATTACAAATCAAGTTTATTTTAATAAAATACAAATATACAAAAATATAAATTTTTTAATAAACCAAAAATCAATAGCTGTTACAAATTATCAAAGTAAATCTTTTATGATGAATAATTGTTTCCAAATTAATCAAAGAATATAAAATTGTATTGCAATTCAACTTATAAGCATATCAAATAAAAAATATATAGATTATTACACGCTATTTTGTATCAATGCAAAAAGCTCATTTCACAACACGTAAAAAGAAAATTTATGAAAAAAACATCGTAATATTCAGTGATCTAGAAGGTTCGACGAAGTGCACCAATTAATGTACATAATGTAACTGAATGAATAAAGTCTATATATTTTAACATTTACCGCTTGCTCAAAGTACACCGTTCCCTTAACGGGCTCGCCCTGAAGGACACAGACTGCCTTGACCATTTTGCAAATATTCTGGCCTACTCAAGACCGGTTCGATTGAGTCAGATGGATAATCCGCAGCGCACTGCAAGAGACGTAAATTATGTAGCAGCTAAAAAGTTAAATTGCTGAATCACTATCTATCAACGTCGGAAAAAAACGCTGACGTACCTATATACGTACCGGCTGATATGCTAGCAAATTTCAAATGATAAGATGGGTGAGCGATGGGACAGCGAGAACGGCCTATCAATGTAAAACAACAATACATGAATGAAGTGTTTGGAAGGTGAAGCTGCAAGTTGACAAAAGATTCTGTAAGAAGCCATGAGATGCCGACACTAAAACATGCCACAGCTAGTCGCATCCAAGGTTTTTTATAGTATTGCCATCTAGTTGAAGCTCGCTCTAATCTCCTGAACAAAATGATTGCTGGTAGTGTGAGTACAGCTTTGAATTTATTAAACAATTTATCAACTAAATAACAATTTATTTGAATAGCTTGAAATTTTTTAACAATTATAATATACAAATATTCAAAGATAATGTATTTAACCTGAAAGTTTCTAAACTAAAATATAAGACACTGATTTTATTCTTAAAATATCTTTAAAAATAATTAAATCCAGCAAACACAGAACATTGCAGCAACATTGTGGCAATGTTGCAATATTGCTGTAATGTTGCAACATTGCCGCAATGTTACTGCAATATTCTATGTTTGCTAGGAAGTATGTACTTAGTCTCTAAATCTTCCATTTTTATTGTTTAAAATATATACATCAATTATGTTTTATTCTAAACATAATATTTTATTAATTAATGATCTATAAAGATAAATAAATGTATGTTTTTATCACATAAACGTAAAATTATGAACCACCGCCCAATCACAGAAATTCTGACATTTTAGTTTAATAAATATTTCAATTTTCAGTTAAAATATCTAAATTCTTTAAGACTAAAATCTAAATTATTCAAAGATTTTAATTTTATAAACGTACGTTACGAAACCTACTCGTTTAAGTTACCGATTTTTTTTATAGACTTCAAACAGATTATCTTATAAGTATTTTTTAAATTAGTTTTTTATCAAAGTTGATTTAAATAATCTTACATTTTATTGTTTAAGAGATTGTTGGATTTCTAACAAACTCTTGCCTTTTGTTTCTGGGATCAAGTACCAAACGTAAGGCACCGCTGCAAGGACGAAGAGTCCGTAACTCCAGAAGACGACAGTTTCTCCGGCAACATCGATAAAAGGCTGAAAAGTCTTGGCGAACAGGAAGGATAGCATTGCATTGCCTGAAGCGATGCAAAGAGATGCTAGATTTTTGAGATCTGCCGGAAACATCTCGCCCTGAAGAGCACTGGGCACCGGCACTAAGCCGTAGGACACAAATATGCCAAAGCTTAGCAGCGATGTGATCGGCAACCATGTGAGTTTTTCAGAATCAAAATTCATAGAAAGAAGATAAAAATGCAGGCCAAGAGCGGTGAGTGAAACAGTGACACCTATGATAGAAACGATCAGCAAATTCTTCCGGCCGAATTTATCCACCACAAAAATAGCAGTGGAACCGGCGATAATGCTGGACAAACCCAGAGCCATCACCACGAATGATGGAGTGATGCTCACTCCTGACTTGATGACGACAATCTCCGCGTAAGAGTTCATTGTATTATATGCGCTTGCATAAACAAAGACGTTTAAGCCGAACATGGTGAAAACTTTCTTCAAATTCACTGGAACAGAGAAAAATCAGTCGTAAATATAATGTTCACGCTTTAAAAAATTTGTTTAAATTTTAAGATATTTTATTGGTTAAATTTTATATTTAAAAAAGAATTAACATCTTCAAATCTTTGAGGCGCAATCAAATAATTCACTTCGCTTCCGATATACCTGGTAATAGGAAGTTCTTGAGCTTTGTCATGATACCGGTCCTGGCGCCATCGACGAAATCCTGCAGTTCCTGCATTTCGGTCTTGACGTCAGCCTCTCGTCGGAACCACTTAAGAGATGCCTCAGCTTCGTCGATATTGCCATGAAGGACGTAATGATAGGGCGACTCGGGTATCAAGCTGAAAAGCACGAGGAAGAGGATATTCGGTATGAGGCTCACGTAACCGTACATCTCCATGGACAGATAAGGACCCATCGCATTGCCCAAGAACATACCCACCGACGCTGCATTTATGTTCGTGGATATCTGTAAACGTGACCTCGTATTAAATTTCAGCTTACTATGGACAAGCTTCCGCTATATTATTGTAAAAATAGGCGAATTTCTGCATTGTCAAATAAGAATGCTTAAGCAAAATTGCAATAAGAAATTTAAAATAAGGTTTTAAATAAATTGAAAAGAGTAAAAATAAAAATTTCAAGTGATCAAGCAGTAAAAACTTCGCAAAATTCGGAAATTGACATCTGAATTAGGCAAAAACAAGAAACAGTTCATTTTCCGCTTGCAATGGATACTATTTTTCCTCCAATTTTTCTTAATGTTTAAATAAAATTCTATATTTTTGGATTTACAAAAGAAAACTAGCAAATTTATCTAAAGCATTAGTATTACCAGTGATCCACGAATTGAAGGATCGGCAATCTCGCTGAGATACAAGAACATCGCGGGCCACATAATACCCGATCCGATTCCGGAGCAGAATCTTGAAAGGTTAAGCCACGTGATCGACGTGGCACAGATGATGAAGACCCAGCTGGAGACTAACGGCAAGCCCGATAACAGAAGCACTCTCTTCCGTCCGACATACTCTGAAGGATTGTGTCGTGGCACTTGTTAGAGACATGTCATCCTGAGAACAAGATCTCCACAACTCAGAACTGCGACTTATTCTTCATAGACAAGAGACTTGTTGTTTTCTTTTTTTATTTTCGTTTACTTTACATTGACAGATCATTTTCCATATGAAAACTATATGTGTTAAAGGAAGGAAAAGTTAGGTAAGGATCGAGATACAAATGTTTCATATAATTGGAAAATTGAAGAGAATTGAAGAATATCAGTAAAACCCTTCGGCTTAAAAAAATAAATCTCAATTATTAAACTTCAGGAATATTACAATTATGTGAGATCATAAAGATATGAATATACGGATTTATATAATCCAGGATTTTAAGGATATGCGTACTTCAGGCTGACTGCAAGGATGGCTCTAAGGATTTTGAGTTTCATAATACTTCACGAAGACTTGCTTTCGATTTTCGATTATTGCTGAGTCGTGGCTGGCTTGTTCTTAGGTTACGAATTGTTGCTCAATTTCAATGGGAAGAGGATTCAAGCCGTCTCGGTCTAAATGGCCTTGAAATCATGTTTAAAAGAAAGAGTACAAAAAAGATTTCGTAATTATATGCATATAAATTATACTTCATGACTTACGAATTATGTATTGATAAAAAAATGCTTAATATACATAAAAATAAAATAGAAAACACTCTAATGACAACTTTGATCGAGCTAAAGAGATTTATTTCGATAAGTCGCTTTAAACTTATGATCGATGAATCTCGCTTTCAATAAGAAGCGATGGCGAAGAACTTTTACCTTGACAAAAAGCGCCGAGAAGCGCTCCGACGAGACGTCCAAGATTCAAAAGGGATGCCACCCAAGATGCTTCAGTATCGGTTAGCTTGAAGGGACTGTCTGCCTCTGCTAATGTTAATTGCGCTAAATACGGCGAAGCCCAGCCGGTTGCCAAACCGCTAACGATGGCTTGTAGACTAACTGTTGAACAAAACGTGATTTAAAATTCAAAAATGCTGCTCTTTTCGCTTTTTAATTAAAAATAATAATTAGAAATATTACAATAAAATTTGTATTTAATAGCTATTGTCAATACATATTTGAAGTACAACGTACATACAAGATCGTAGAAAATCATTCAGGCTTAAAAAAATATAAATACATTATTATTCATGTTTAAATTTTTTCTCCTCGAGCTTCGATATAAAATTTTCAACATTTATTTTCTTCAAGCGTGATATAAGAAAATTTTATTCTGCACTATGAGTTGTTTTTGCACGACAGAACACACATTTCTCGGTTGTACGATTTCGTATCTATACTGTATATATATTTTGCTAATTAAGTTAATTAAGAATATTATTTAATTTATAGTTATTTAATAATTTACTAAATTTATTTAATAATAAGAAAAACTTACTCGCGAGAGCAGCCAGCCATTGCGGCCAAATAGTAATTTTTTTTTTGTCAGGGACTTCTGGATCCTTGGCGCAGGACATCTTTCAAAATGTGCAGGACGTAAGGTGCATATTACGCGTCTTGATAGAGCTGCACTGACCCCTGCAGGTTCGAGACCGGCAGTTTCCAGACGAGGAAGAGCATTTACATGTTCTACGTACACACGAAGACGAGATGAATACATTTACATTTCGATAAGAAAGTGATTTATTTATGATGCCGCGTGATTTGATGGTACACTCGTAACCACGTGCATCAGTAGCAATCTATAAAAAACTACATCAGGGTTGTTCTACCTCCGTATGTATTCAAGTATCAAACTCATTAAGATCCACGAGCTCTAAAATAAAACAACTAAAATTGTAAAACGTTTTGCACTTTAAATATTTGTAATTCTAAAAATTCTAAGATTTGAAAATTCAATACTTCAAAAAATATATATATATATATAAATTTTCAAGTACTTAAAGTTAAAAAAATGCAAACTTAAAAACTTTTATAAAATATTTTATAATTATTTCTATTTTATATATTAAAATAAAATAGAAAAAGAAAGAAAAACAGAGAGAGAAAACGACAAGGAAAGAAGAAAACGGAAAAAGTGAAAAAGAGGAAAAAGAGCAGTGTATGTGTTAATACTTTAACGTAATTTAATAATCTTTGTTAATAATTTATTTCTTTTTTGCGGAAGAGAGACGGGATTCCTGATATATAAAGCCAGCACTGATTCCAGCTAAAATCGGTTTTGGGAAAGTACCAAGCAACGTGTAAATATGGATTAGAAATCATAGTGATAATAATGACAATTGTATTCTTATCGCAAAAACATGCTGAGTGCTTCTAGCTAATGAAAATATTGAAATTCCAGCAGCCTTTGCAGATTTACTGCCTCGACGTGAAAATATCGCATATACGTTTCTCCTCTTCTGGTATATTCTTGTCGAGGAAAATGAGTCAGAGCTTTTTGCGTTAATATTTTTTTTTTTTTATATTGAATTTTACTTTATTTTGCCTTTTATTTATTTTTTATTTATATTAAAATGTATATACAAAAGGTAAGCACACAATAACGAATTTATTGCACATGTAATGGTATTTTTAACGTTCAAATAATATCAAATAATTTTATATTACATTTTGTTGAATAGAATATTTTTAATATTGGAGCGTGGGAAACATTAAATTCTTTTTACTTTTGTTGTTTAAAAAAAAATTTTCAGTGATATTTTATTTACTGCAGAAGCTATGCGATTCTTTTAAATTCATTGTAGTTTATTTTTTTAGTGTTGCATACTTTGTATATTTCTTTCTTAATTACTGCATTTCTTTCCTTATCATCAAGAGCGTTGTAATTTCCCCAAACCACTTTTTTGCACGAATGCGCTCCCCGATTATTCATATCCCCCCGACAAAATAACCCTCTCTCACGCGCTTTCGTTCACAAACCCCCGTTTTCATTCCTATCGTTCTTCTTTTCGTCCTTCCTTCATCCTCACCGCCTCAAAAAGCCCAAATAGTCAAAACAGCGCGACACCTTTATTCTAAAGCATCATTTCGCTGCGGACATCGCGTATTTCCGGCGACTTTCGCATGTCTCCGATAGGGATGTATTTAAAAGTGAATTGTCGTTTTATACTACATTGCAGGATACAGCTATCATTTTTCTTTAAAGCTTTAAAAATTTCATTTAGATTATTGCAAAATTATTTAAGGCTTTGCTTAAGTTTTCGATGAAGTTTTTGATTAAATTGCCATTACAAATTAGCTGTTTTATTTAAATTCTAAACATCTAATCCTAGAAAAATATATATTATTTTTTCTAAATATACATATATATTTTGCCTATATAAATACTTAACTTTCATCATTTTATTAAAATAGAAAATTGGTGTTATAGAAAGTCTTCTTTACTACCTTCGTAGTTTAAATTTTATAACATTTTATGATTGGCTTTTAAAACTGTGTAAAATATTAATTTCAATATGCATAATGTAAAACATTAATTTTACATGTGCTTTTTCTCTTCAAATTCGTCTGGTATTGATTTAAAAACTCGTATGTTACTAAGGAAATATTGCGAAATAATTTTCATTTAAACTTTGTTTCAGAAACATACACATTTTTTGACATATATTAAAAGTAAAAAAAGATTAATATAAAATAAAAACTTATTAGAATTAAAATGATAGAATTCATGCACTAGAATCACATATATCATTGAGCTCATACTACAAATAATAAAGAAATATAAAACATAGCATAGATAGAAAACATTTATAATTTTTACATACACAATGTTTATTAATTACTATCTATATAAAGATGTGTTTTAGAAGCTTAACTTTTTATCATATATTTTGTATTCATTATTAAGTGTTCTGTTCTACGCACAAAAATTTGAGAACATTTCTATGAATTGTTATAAATGTATAAAATTTTTAGTTTATAAGTATTAAAAAAAAGAAATATATTTAAAAAGAATGAATGAAAAGAATATGCAATATATGCATATATTAGAATCAAAATTATTCACATTTTCTTTCGCAAGTAATTAGAACCTTTTTATGTTAGCACAAATAATTAAGCTCAAAACAATGGGAGAGCATGTGAGTGTTGTCGAAGCTTTTCTTTCAGACAACGGAATTTCTAGTCACACTCCTGTTCGTCGCTCGCACCCTCTTAGTTCCCATGCGGGGGTGCGCTCAGTGCGAATCGCGCAGCCGCCCGAACACTTCGGAGAAGCTGGCACCGCATTGTGATCGCGCGCGAAAAAAAAGGGGAAAAAAGAAACGAAAGTGCACGCAGGCGAGGGAACATTTCGAGGCTGTTTAGTGTTCTTTAAACAAAGTACAAGTTGCAATATTCGTGTTCGCGCATTCTCCAGAGAATGACGTCGTTGTCTGTGACACCGCGTGGGTGCTGCGGCCACGGGATCCACGTCCGCTGGCCCTATTATTGACTCGGGGGTTGGTCCGGCGGCCATGACGAGGGGTTGGATACACCGCGAGATCGCGAGGTGGCGCGGTGTGTGCGGTCCACCCTCCCTGGAATGCTTTCGGCGAGGATCCTGCCGACGCTGTCGAGCCCTACGGGTCCATCCACGACGTTGAGGGCGACCGACGGCGGCCAGGAGGTGCGCGTTTGACTCTTAGCGTCGCCGTGGAAGTGCAAACGCGCGGTCGCGCGCGAATAATAGCGCACATCGAAGTGGAATCGTGCGGGGCGGAAGCGGTGCGGAAAGTCCATTTCGAAAGGCTTGCGTGTTGTTCGGGGCGTACCGAGTGCACCCAACGGTCTCCTCGCAGTGCGGACAATATTTCCGGGTGAATTTGTGCGGGTCAACGACGTCGTCGCCGCGGTCTGGCGTTCGTCGAGTGGGATCGTGGGAAACCGAGCCGAGAGGAGTGAAACGTGACTCGGCCCTCGAGAGTGTCGTCCACCATTTTGGCTGCGCGGAGGTTATTCCGTGTCTCTCGCGAAGGCGTCGGGACGCCCGTGCGACTCGTCGAGAACGACATTCTATTTTGGAGTGATCTCTTCGCTCCTCTCATTCTCCCCTCTTCCTTCTTTTTCGCCGTTTTGTTATTGCGAGGGAGCGTTTCGGCGAACGGAGAATACGAGCGACTTCCGGAGAAGAATCGGTGTCGTGACGCTGCTGCACAGGGATCAGCTGGATCCAGCCAGCATCCGAGCGTCTCATCGAGAAAAAGTCCTGGGACATCCTGGGACGTCGCGACGTTCCCGACGCCGCGGAACCGAAGCCATTTTTACGCGCTGCATGTTGGGAGGAGTGGCTCTCCCGTTGGAAACTGGGTTACCGCGTCGCTTCCGCTTGAATTTCTCCTTCGCTCGTCGTCCGGAGACCCGTGAATTCGTGTGTCGAGGTCGAAAAAAAAACAGAACACGTTCTCTACTTTGCCCGTGGCCGAAAAATCTGCACAAAGTCGTGACTTAATGAAATTTGTGCAGGGAGCAGAGACTCGGATTTTGAGTGAGAAGAAAGCTGTGTGCCAAGTGATCAGTACTTGTCGGAGAAAATCGCGTAAGATGAAGAGACGTGGATTTGTACGTTAATGCGAAAGAGACGGTGTTTGAATTCGTCGAGTCATTTCGTGCGGAGAGAAAGAAGAGACGCGAATTTATACACTAAGGGGGAGGAGAAACGTGTACAGAGCAGAAGAACAGTGCGTGGATTGACTTGGTGGATCGATATAGTCGTTGACGAGCATCGTGTAAAAAAAAGGATTAGCGTAGATTGATCGATTGATTAATCGTGTCCTCGGAATGTCATGCGAGCAGAGGAGATGCGTGGATCTGTGTGTCAAGTAAAGAAATTGGAAAAATGTTGTTTTGTCATTTAAGATTAGATGACGATGAGATAGTAATCGATCTGGGCTGATTTAATAAATCAGTGGAGTTATTGAAAAATATTATTCAAGGAAAGCAGAGATAAATCTATAAAATGGAAACTTGATTCGATAAACTTGGAAAAATCATGAAAGGTGAATTGAATTGGTTTGCTTAAAAAGGATAAACGTAACATTCAAGAGCGAGAAAATAGTATGCAAGTAGATTTAGAAAATTGATAAATTTGTGACGGAATTTCGGGCGATCGGAGAGGAATGGCTGGATTTATACGCCGAGAGAAAGAAAATGCTAGAAGGTAAAAGTTGTATATGCGGAGCATTTAATGAATACACAGAGGAATGTCGTGCAGCATAGGAAGACATGGATTTCTACGTTGAGGGAAGCGCAGCGCGGAAATGTGTGGTACGTGCGTTCGACGAAGAAATATTTTGTGCAACGTGATTGGTTCTCATTAAAGAGAACTCCCGCAGAAAGAAGTAACATGGCTCTATGTTTAATGTCGAATGATTAATCGCTGAAAAAAAATAAAGTGTGAATTTGTGCATTAAAAAAAAGCCGAATCTGTATCGATGCAGTATTAGTGAAAGTATTCTGTAAAAAAGCAAGATGTAAATTTGTTGTGTTCTCCGCTTGTCAAAGAATTTGATAAGTTAAATTTCTCATTAAAAAATAATAAATATTATTTTACTGGAAAAAAAAATCGCAGATCCTTATCAATGAAAGATTCTTCTTTGGGTTATGGAATAATAGTCATTTGTGGAAAATTTCACTTGTATGCTTCAGAAAACTGAGGATTACAAGAAATCATTATTTGAAAAATACTCTTTACGCCTAAGAGAATCCTATTGATACCGAAAGCAGTTGTCAATTCCGATCGCTTGAGTAAAATTCTTTTCCTCTCCAGAAAAAGTGAAAGAATTGCACTGAAAAAAAATCACAAATTTTTTGTGTTAAAAAATTTTAAATTCTGTTTGCTCGAAGAATGTCCTCCGTATGTCGAAGAAAACAGATGCTTGTTCTTCACGGAAATGTGCTTTGTCGAAGATTTATTTGCTGGTCGAAGAAAATTACAGATCGCCCTTATTTAAGAGATATCGTCGAGAGGAATTGTAATGTGTAAATTGAGGGTGACAAAAATTATCAATTTTTTTTTACGATTTTAAAAAAAAGATCCTTTTACCAACGAGGACTTTCCATCTTCAGGAAAGGAAATCTTCCACGAGAGGATGCTGCGAAGATTGAAGGATTCGTGGGAACGGGATGATCGCTAAAAGATTTATGGGATTCACGGGATGGAAATTGATGGATCTTCATGGAAGGAGGATAAATCTAACGAATTTTGTTCGAAAAGCTCGCCAAATGTAGCATTTTTCTGAGAACATGATCAGAAATTAAACCGACAGGCGTCGGAAACGCGAAAGACGATGAAGATCGAATGACTGCGGCAAAGGACCGACAAAAGTAGTTTTAGGTGTTTCGTACGAGTGAAATCGATTAGTGCGTCGATTATTAGTGCTCTTTTGAAAGTGTCTCTCCGATTTTTCTCGTCGAAGGATTACGCGTGGCGGCCTACGAGTGACAAGTACGAGTCCTTCGGTTCCGCAAGACGTGAGTATTCTATTTTGTTTCATTGAAGTATCAAGTAAATTAAACAGAAATATTATTATAGAAAAGAATACGAGATAGTTGATTTATTCATTTTAGATAGAACTGTTATTTTAAAGATGTCAACAAGAGATTTTTGCCCGCGATAAATGAGATCGAAAAAATAATAATATGAGTACATAAAGCAAAAATTCATATTTTATGTCATATATGCATTATATTGCTTTAATAATTTTTACGATCTTAAAGAATAATAATTACAAAATAAAAATGAAAGAAATTTATATCCAAATATAGAAAAATAGCTATTGTTATGATACAAACAATAAATTAAGTTGTTATTTTTTGAGAAAAGAAAGAGGATTGTAGCGAAAGATCATGCTCAAAAGAGGATCAGAAATCACGGTAGTAACTTGCAACCTTCATCTCACCTTTATGCACCGGTACATAAAACTTCGGGAAAGCGCTAACCTACATGCTCATTCGTATGGCAAATCATATTCAATTCGCAAAATGAAAACCACCCGCGATGCACACACCATCACATCCGTTTCCGTCTGCTTTTACCGTCCCTCGTGGAGAGAATCGTCTTGCAGTAGAAATCCGCGAAGACTGAATCCTGAGAAAAATATTCTCCCTCTAGAACTTTCTTATGCACTTAGAAATTTTAATATCTAAATTTAAAAAACGTCCACTTCAGAATATTATATACATTTTATACATTTTGTTACTATTTTTTTCTTTTAGAAATATCTGATATCTCATTAACGCGAGAAGCGACTGATTCTTAAATTATCACCAAATAAAGAAGAAAGTTAATTAGATGAAAGAAAATAAATAGAAGAATTTACAAGAAAAGCAAAACAGTAATTAAACATCGCAGTATAAAGTTACAACAAGAGCTGAAGTTTACACCGAAGGTTCCGTAAACAATACTTGCCCCAAAATAGTGACGTCATCGCCGAACTAATTACCGTGTATAGTTACCACCGATCTCATTAATATTTATTTACCTTTCGATATTTACTTCATTAATTACAATTAATTAGTAGATCACAGCATGGCGCACACAACAAAAATATAAATCTGTTATTAGAAACAATTTTACTTTATATTTAATTTAGGCGCAAAACGTTACTTAGATTAGTTACTAAATTATATGAAAATGTGACGCGGTGGTAGCATGACGTCAAAAGCACATAAAAATAATTTGGCTGTGCGATATGTAAAAAATATCACGAAACTTATTAATAAATTAAAATTGTTTAGAAAAGAGTTCTAACAAGATCTTAGGCAGCACTAAAGAGAATTCGATTACATTAGACTCGTATTATGATAATTTCAGAGCATCGTTACGTGTTTGATATTTCACTAAAAATAGGAAAGTCAGCAGGTGTCTATCTGGAAAAACCGATCGAAAGTTGTAACTAAATCCCAGCTCTAGTATAGACAATATCTAAGTTGAATATCGATAATTGATGGGGTGATTCGTCTTCGATGGTCGTGTCGAGTTCAAAACGAAGGTAGAGAGGAAGGATGCAAGTGGCAATGATCGCACTTCTTCTAACATCGAGATCATTACGGCAGTGATTTGTGGCGCCATTAGAGAGGCGCAGCCAAAATGCGTTTCTGAAAAGCGGAGTCCTGATATTAATCGCTAACGCCTGACGCGAGAGGGGGGCATAAATTCCGGATATCCTTCTCTGTGCCGGAGAAATTTTTCGCCGTTCGAGCGAAATGGCCGAAATCTGCGTCCGAAAAGTTTCGTGACAATCTCGATGAACAGAGGTGCGCGTTTGATCTACTACTTCTGTAAAGTTAGCACCCCGTTTTCGAATTCGATATAATTGATAGAGGTCTAACTCTTTTCCAAAGATTTCTAGACTTTCTAATACGCGTGAAGAAAGAATTATAGCGATGAAATGTGAAAAGACATTCTAAATATATAAAATGCTAACTTTGTGCTTTTATTATGCGGAAATTGCTCTTTGTTTTAAATTGTTGAATATATAATTTTTATACGGAAGAATAACAGAGTTAAATGTAACTTTCGTGTTGCGTTTGAAAGACTTTGAAGGAAATAAATATGTACATAAACATACAAAGTAAAGCGTTCATTTGACTAGAGTCGCAGAGAATTAGACACGGACGCAGTGGTTACGGACTGATTAGCACAGACCGTAAAGGGCGTACAGTGGTAAAAGACAGCGCGAGCGTGTACATAAAAAAACTACGTAGGATTTATTTTTTGTCTTATCTTACTCCGTAATTACTATCTATGGTAACGGATAGTTCAAGTAGCTACATTGTACTATAAACTCAGTTTCCGTGAAAAGTTTTAATCGCTAACGCTAATACATATAAATATATTTATATGTATGTGAGTATAAACTATTGCGAATCTTCTTTCGTTTCGTTCGTCTAACCACGTGTCTCGCGACAAAATGAATTATTTTACGCAGTTGTTTTCAATTATTCGTACAAAAAGTAGTAACATAACAATGTTGATGAGTAATAAACATCGAAGGAAGAAAAATGTGGAAAATATCGATTGAAAAATTGATACGGGATCGTCACTTTCAGCTGCGCTTTTCTGCAACATCGTGCATCGCGCTCGTAACTTTAAGAAAGTATAGCGGCGGTCGCGAATTGATTTAGTATTGTGTGTCATAAAGTACCAGCGCTGACCCCTTTTCGCACGAAATCGATATACACACTTCGATACACACGCACGCGTTACCTAATTCTTCAACTCTGCATTGCAATCTATTATAATTTTTTCATTGTGCGCGCGTTTAAATAAATAAATTAAATTATATTATTATTGACTATAAGAGAAAACTAAAATTTAGTTAAATAGTATACATTACATGGGATTACAAAATAATTATTAATCTTGGCAAATAAGAGAAGTCTTGTAATAAATTAACCCTAGCAATATAAATTTAAAAAATATTTCTTTTAAGTAACAAAACCGTTGTACATTTATGTACTTACAACTGGCGTATATTTTTTCTTTGAAAAGTATAGAATCCGAGTACAACGATAGTCTAATTAGCAATCAAAAATAATTGTAAAATTTTGCATTGGCATTGATTATCAATATTTATGTTTCATGTATATCATCATTATTATGCCTATTACGTACACAATTAAAATAAATTAATATTGCTCATTACAAGAAATAATAGAATAGAATTAACAATATTCTACTGATTGGCTCAATTATATTTGGGTGTCGTAATTTTATTAGAATATACGAGAACATAATAAAAAGGACACAATCAAATTTCTAAAATGTATTTTATATTAATTACGAATAATGGAAAAAAAAGTTAAATTATAAAGAAGCCTAGCATTTCACTGTTAGTTTTTTATAAAAACTAGAAAAAAATATCTCTATTTTTAAATTATCAGGACTAAACAACTCCTTTATTTTGTAATTTCTCTTTAGTCTTTTATTTTATTGGCACATGCTCAGAATGAAAATGCCGTCTTGGTCATGTGCACAGCAAATTTTCATTCCACGCATGCTCATGTGATAACGTGGTCGTTGGCAAATGTAGTGGGAGATCACAGAGAAGAATTTAAGACAAGAGACGATCAGCTGTTGAAAAATAATGTCATTTTTAAGAATAGAAGCAATAAATTGCAATTTATTTACTTTGTAAAGAAAAAACTAGATAAATCTTTTTAAATAGCTAAACGAAAAATCAAATAATCATATATTATAGGCTAAAAGAAATACATAATGTAAAAAAAAGTGACAATTTTCCAAAATACTTGCATTTTTTCGCCCCTTTTTCAAATTCTCTCAAATTCCTAGTTGCTAATGGCATCGAGATTGGAGTCTCCGAGCTGTCCGAAAATATTTTATAATGATTCACGGGCACATCCTGCAGAACCGGTAATATTCTCGGTGTTGGGGGCAAAGGAGAAGTGGGAAGGAACAGTAAAAGAGAGATACTAGCAGCCACCACCGACATAAATCACCCTTTGCTCTTGTCGACCGAAGGGCAAGCAAAGTGAATGGGAAAGCCCGGAGCGTCTCTCTTCTTGAAAAATAATTCCGACGAACTGGCTTTTCCATTAAAAAGTTTGATTCGCGGATTCGTAGTCGGCATACCTAACTTAACAGAACGGAAAGTTTGTCGTTTTTCTTGGAAGATGCAAGAAAGAGGAACAGGTCGACATTCCGGTTATCTCCATTGCCATCTTTCCAAGTCCGTTTTGTCTTCTCGGTTATTTCCGTAATGCTACCAGTATGTTGCAAAGTGTATTTTTATTTAAAATTCTAGAACTTTCGAAACTCCATGTACCATCATCATATTGAATGGTGACGTCAGAAACGAAAAATCACATGTTCGTTATCATACGATAAACAAAGTACCGCAATGCCAGTATTTTCATATTGCTTTTAACGTTAATATTTGCTTTTTGGACTGGTAATTGTAAAATATAATTTATTTTTATAATTTGTTAAAATTTATTTTAATTTTTAAGTTAAATGTTAAATTAAATAAAATGTTATGTCAAACATTTTTGCAAAATTATTATAAATTTGTTTTAATTTCACAAAAATAATCTCGGATTTTAATTGAATATTTACTTTATTACATTTTTATTATTTTTTTGTTCTCAAAAATTTTTAATTTATAAGTTAAACACACACAGAAAAGGTAAATTAAATTGAAATATTTTATATCTATTTATATAGAATGTTTAGAAATTAAAATAAATTTTTTTAAACAACATGTGAGAAAATCTTATAGAAAAAATTGTTCATAAGTTGCTGTTGTTTTTCTTTTTTTCCTCTCCCTCTTCTCATTGCTCAATTCATGCATTGTACTTGGCATTGGAATCTTGATCAATAATAAAGTTCGAAGCGATTAAGCTGGAATGCGTAACGTCACGTTTTGATTTTATGACTGAGAAATTCCAATTCCCGCGGATGGGAGAAGTAAAATAAATAAGAAAGATAAGTAACTCCAAAATCAGTATGTGATTGTCGAACCGACAAAGCGATAGTTTCATCCCACATTATATCATCAATTATATTTTGTATCTCCTTTCTTTCACAAACAGAAAACAGATAGAGTATTTGAATCAAATGTTGAATTTTGGGGAAACTCATTGCTGCAGGTGCTTAAAATAGCTTTCTTAGTTTTTCTGGAACCGTATTTTGTTCTTACCATATTTTTTAATTTCAATATTTCTAGATCAATTTGAAGAAAAAGGTGCACAACCGTCGAAGTCCCGTTTAACTTTAAACTTCAAACCTACGGCACCTTTTCGTCGTCAGAACGAGAGGTGTTGTCCTTGTCATTCGCATCGTTGTCGTCCTCATCGTCAGCGTCAGCTTCTTCTTGTAACAGCACAGTTTGCAAACTCGCGACGGTCTCGCGATAAAAGTTACGTCGTTTAGTGACGTTCTTAGCCCCCACTTTCTCTCCTTTTTGTGCTTTTACAAGCGTGGAGAGATTGTAAGAGGCAAGGAAGGAAAAGATGAGAATGAGAAATTGAGTAGAAAAAGACATTTGTTAAGTTCTTTGCATTAAATTCCTGAAGTATCAAAGCAGAACGTCAAGCTGTTTTGTGAACTTTGTACATTCTTTAAATCTTTTCTATAGAAACAATTATGTTTCTTATTTATTTTTCTATTGCATTATTTTTTTGGATAATATTGCAAATTTTGGCAAAACTTTTATCTATGCAAATTTGTTAGCATGACTAAATACGATTAATTGGTAATACATAATTTCTTTAGTTCAAATATTTATGTAATTATATCAAGTTTACTAGCATATTAGTAATGTTATCAAATTTGTGTAATTTAAAATAACAAAATAAATTTTATTCGCGTATTTAATTCAGTATTTCAATATTTTAATTCAATTTTGACGTATATAATTCACACGTTTATAAATCTTATAATATTAACTAACATACAGTCAATTTGAACAATAACAATGTTACAATAAACAAATAATGCAATTAATAAGTTGGATATATTCAACAATATTTTCTATTTGTACTAAAATATATGACTAAAAAATATCTTTTAATTCCACATTTTTTTTGTCATTGAAAAAGGAAAAGATTTTGATAAGAGTAAATATAATACTTTATCTTTATATAAAATTACACACAATTTTGATAACATTACTAATATAATAATTACTTGATATAATTACATAAATATTTGAACTAAAGGAATTATGTATTACCAATTAATCATATTTAATCATGCTAACAAGTTTACATTTATATTTATATATAAAATTATAAACCGCAGACAAAAATATAATTATCTCAGCATAGATCTTAGAACTTACTTGATAAATATTGAAAAATAAAAACAGTGAAGAATATCGACATTTTGTAATCACACAAGTGTAATGAATTCACTCACTATTCGTTGTATCCTAGCTAAGTACGCCTTCAGCTGCACCCGAGGAAATTATCACACATTTTAGTTTCAAACATCTTACATAAATAATTAATAAATACATAATCATAGTTGTACATTATCGCAAAACTGTATACATATTTAAATAGTAAACAAATAATTGTTACTACTTATAAAGCTAGGATATTGCAGTCTGCTCCATCTGCATTGCATCCTGTCTTATAATGTTTTGCATCAGCTTGATGGAAGAATCGATGAATATCAGGAATCACTCACTTACACTGAATATATCACTCATCATACATTATCGAACAAAAATTATCCCGCGTATTTTACTTATGCGAAAAATACATGAATTTACGTCACGAATTTATTATGGCCGCGATACATAAAATGAAAATAATAAAACGAGATAAAACGCACTTTGTCATCTGGATATTATTACCTCATATTCGGCATTGTACATACATTCAGAGCAAACGAAATGGGCAATTGTCTGTCTAGTGATCACAGCATTAAGTACGTGCACATAACTTAATTATCTGATTTAATTTCGACGAGCTCAATTTCAACATACTACATCTGACGAAAAGTAATCGCGTTTCAATTTTATTGAGTGAACATAACGGTTTTTGGACGTCTCTATCGCTGGTTTCAACATCGGTGCAGCGAACAATGGAGCATCGTTATTCACGAATATCTGGCAAACAAGTAATCGCCCGTTATTTTAATCGGCACTCCCGACAAATAAATGTACTTGTTATGCTTTTAACGGTTGATTCGGAATTACTCGCGAAGTGTATATTCTACGTCTCTCATAACGGCAATTGTAACAAAAAGTATCATGACGCGTCTGCAGTTTGGCACTACTATCGCGTCGTAGGGTTGACACAATTATCATAGTGACCGATGTGTGGCGCGCGTAGAATTTTTATCGATTATTAATGCTGAATCTTAAGTCCCTATAATTGCGCCACTGCAAATGCGCCATTATGAACATAGAATTAGACACTAGCCTTAATAAAATAATGGAGATAAGCCTAAAACTTTCCACTTTTGTCCGCCATTTTAGTTTAACAGTTTTTATCATGACTCATCGTTTTATTAAGGGATATTATTTTATTAGGTATCTATATCTGCATTTAAAGTTTAATTTACAAGAAATTCTGTGACTTTTACTAATTACTTAAAAACCATTGATATATTAGGAAAAAAATGCTGTGTGCAACGTGTATATCGAAGTATTAACAAAAGTACTTTCTGATTACAGAATCCTTGGCATGCGTAATACGGTCGAATCGGGCATAGAGCTCGTTCCGGGATTAGCGAAGGGCTCAAAGGAGGGTCGCCTGGCCGCTCTCGAGCGGTACGAGGGCCGGTGAGCACGACAGGGCGAGCAAGTCTCTTGCCGACGACCAACAACCCTCTCGTCCGTCACTGTCGACGAACAACAGAACAGGTTCGTACGTCTCTCGTAATTGATAACTACCACTGATTGCATCGCATGATCTCAAGACCGATCACGAGATACTGATGAATTAAGTAAAATTAAGATCCGTAGCTTTTATCCTTAATCCAAGATACTTTTCATATATTGGCAATATCTCATTTCATATATGGCAATAAATTTCATTATTTATAATCCCAGACAGCACAGCATGGTCAAAAGACGCCCAGAGGATACCTCGAAGACGTTTTTGGGACGACAAAACATCCTCTGGATGTCTTGGTACATCCTTTGGATGTATTTTGGACATGTGCTGTCTGGGATATCTTTGAAAATATATATATATATATATATATAGATACATCTTTATTTTATTTTAGATTTTATATACTTTTAAAATTATTCTTTATTTTTTATTCGTCTAAAACAATCTAGATATTCGTAAAACTATATCTACAATACTTCAAAAAAATTGACAAAAATGTTTCAAAGTACATTCTTGAATTTCTAGATATTACATTTTTATTTATTAAATCTGTGCAGTCAGCATATATAGACATACATATAATAACTTATTTAGTTTCATGTAAAAGTTTTGTGTTACTCCCAAACTTTTTCACAAACTTTAACGAAGAGGTTTAACTGTATCGATGGGTAAAAAACGCAAATTATGATGTCGGTCTGCACGTGCAGGTCGACTACTCACGTGGCTTCATAGGCGGATCGATCATTCCTCTCGAACGGATGTTTGCGTTGGGAATCGCGGAAGGGGCGGAAACGGATTGGAGATATCGAAGACTTGGAAGCGCGGGGGACTTATCTCAACGCGTGAGAGGGTATTCTATTATACGATTCTAATAGGGGATGTACGATCATCCGGTTAGACGCATTGTAAACAGAGCTGTTTGTTAGAAGGGTCGTTGCATCTTCTATCCTCGTCCCAGGGGCGTTTAGAAGTGTGTTTAAATGTAGAGCAGCGGAAAATTTTATCTGTTTGTAAACAAAAATTTCCTTAAATGCTTTAGAACATTCCTTTTAACAATTTTTTTATTTTCTATATTTTTGTATTTTTTATTTTGTTCATAAAATAAGAATTTTCTCTCTCTTATCAATCAATACCTGCTTTTTAAAATATTTTTTATTACAAAAAAATGCTAAAAAATGTATACTTTAAAATTTTTTTAAATTTTAATTTTAATTTTTAAGAAACGGATTATTTGGTCTGATTTTATTCAGAAATAAAACACATATTAGACAATTAAAATTTATGTGTTGACAAATAAATATTATTTTAGAACTCGCCTTGTATACTAAAATCGCGAGAGTCAGCTGTTCTTTCGAACCTTGTTGTTCATGTTATTGTTCTAAGTTTTTATTTCAACTAAATGCGATGGCGCACTTTCGGGGAAACTTTTCCATCTTCTCCGGTGATTTAAAGCAGTCAGACATTTTTTTGTTCTACTTCAAGTACTCGGGGATGAGGATCGTGAAGTTCTCGAAGTAGATCGACCGGTATATATACTGGCGACTTTTTGAACTTGTCGAAGAATGTCGGGGTTCACAAAGGTGTTAGCTTTCTAACGGAGGATCGCGGTTGTTGGAAATTCTGCGAAAACCCTTCGGGCAGGCCCATGCTATAGTTGCACAACCAGGTCTTGCCTCAAGATGCACTTCTCAAAGTGCATTCAGAGAACAATTACACTATCTCTGAGAGTTATTATCCTAAACATAACTAATTTCTATTTTGGAATATTGTTAATATTTATGGTTAGACAAAATCGGAAAGAAAGAAACAAAATTGTTTTTTATTAAATTATTTAATTTTTATCGGTTTTTTTAAGGTGAAACTATGAGTTTAGTTTAAAAAAGATACAAATAAATATTAATGAAACATATCAGTTTAGTAAAGTAATTAGTTACTATTTTACTAAAAATTATCTAATAATTATCGCGGTTAAATAAAATATTTATAACTTATCGATCTAAGCTATTGTTCAATAATAATTGAGAAAATTACTTGTTAATTACTATTAAATTATTTATTGATTATTAACTATATTGTGCGCTTTCAAGGAAAGATTGAAAGCGAATGTTATGCATACAATGCAGACTAATTGAGCACCGAATTGATTATTTCTTGAATTCCAATTGATAACTTCGTAATGTCGGTAATTAAAATAAACAACTTAGAGATAGCAAGTCCATTCAAGTAAGGAGCGTTTAAATAAAATCGTGATGCAATTAGAAGTAAGTTATACTTGCGAGCTTCGAATGCTTTATGAATAAGATTTTTTTGAAGAATCAGAACGGAAAAGCTGAAATCGTGAGAATAAGAGAACAAGGAATACTTAGACGTTTAGATGTTTTTGCTTCACAATATTTTATAATGAAAAAATATGATTATGTTTAAGGAAAGTTAAGTAATTAGTTGATCTTTAAATAATTTCTTGGGCATCCTGAAACAAGTTCTCACAATTCTAAGAGAATTAAAAAATAAGAACAAAAATACGTTTATCAAATAAAAAGTTATACGTTTAATTAAACAAAAATAGATACAAAAGTTAACAAGTTCAATCTACGTAAACTAAACATAGATAAATAAGCGAAATTTCCGCATATTGATAAATAATAAAATAAATTAGTAAATGTATACGGTCAATTAATAAAAATATTGATATAAAATTAAAAATTCAAGCAAATTTGATTACATTGAATTAAAAATGGAATTTATGTCGCTAATTAGAATTATCATATTAATTATTCTATTTGCGGATATTTAATAAATCAGAAGAATCCGGAATTAGGTTTTAAATCTGCGTTTTAGTGTTTGACAAAGCACTGATCATTTAAAAGAATTGAAGAAATCGGATTTTGCATCGATCGAGCACAATGGGCCAACAGGCCGCGATGAGTCGGGAAGGAATTAATTTCTTCTCGTTCGCTCGATAGCCAGCACTCTTGCTCGAGCTAGCACTCTCGATATCCGGTACGTCCTCGATGTCAGAGGCATGCTTTATCTCAAAACGCCGATGGTGCGCGATTTGATCATTAATCTCAGAAAATAACACAAAATAACATTAGCAAATTGTGTTCATAGCTCTGCTTTTAACAATCGTAGGACATCGCGTATTCGAATTGAGAAAAACGCAAAGATGATTGTCGCAAAGATAAATATATACTTATCTTTCTTGTTTAATGAGATTAACGTAGTTGTGTTTATAGCTTTGTTATACACTTCTATCTGTAGCATTTCTCTAAAAGTTTTTCTTAAAATTTACAAAAAAATTTTTTTAAGTACTTATACTTTTAGAACTTGATAAATTTTATTTTTAATTAAAAAAATCTTAACAATGTAGAAATATTATTTTGCTTTATAAGCTTTATTTTATTTTAATAATAATATTGGAATGAATTTCTCTCGAAAAAAGATTTATCTTTCGCGTTGTTTATGAACTAGTGTGCACATATAGATATAAATGAAATACGTATAAATGAGCTATGTGCCCTTATTGCAATGTTATCTCGATCGAAACTTCTCACAAATTATTACGTGACTATAGTTTTATTAATTAATTATAGTATAGCTGCGTCCCAGAACCCGCGATCTTAATCTTAATGAAAGATATTTCGACGAACTTGAGAAGTCGATTTTTCCTTAGAAATATTAATAGAGGTCATCATTTACCGCAACATTAAATTTTTCATTAAACCTTAAATTAAATTTTTATTAGAATAAAGTATATCTAAACTTAAAGAGTAAAGCAAAATGTTGCTCGTTTACGATGGCTTGAAACTAGCACGAGGTCGGCAAGTTTTCCTTCTTTTCTTTTTGTCAAAAAGAAGAGATTCTGGATAAAAACCGATAAAAATGCGGTCAAAACTCGATTTAGCGCTTTACTGGAAGGGGGTTTAAGTGCAGGCCAAGTAGGTATGTCAGTACCTAGTGGGATTCCTTAATTAATTAGCGTTAATTAACAAACGTGCGGCAAAGTTGTTGCACTCCGTCTCACGCCTTTCCTCGGTCGACCCTTACCTCGGTATTCTCAAGAGAACCCGAGTACTGCCTTTGAAGTTACATCCGGTTGCAGGGGTTACGGCAGGGTCGTCCATTTCCACATAATATTCGGCAGTACACCCCCTCTAGCCTTTCTGAGGAGCTGGTCTGCCGTTTGCTAATTAAATATCACTGTTGCGTTAATTTTCGCGATAATGTTCCTCTAATTACTTTCCACGAGGTTCTTGATTATGCTTGATAATGAGATGGCGAAACAGATATTTTTGAATTTAATTCTGTATTTCATTCCAGTATTAGTTATTTGATTATAATCAAATAGTTATTTCAATTAAATTTTATTCATCAATTTTTAAACTTTAGTAGTTACCATTTTCGCAAAAATTCTTCAAAATCGTAACGTTTGTCATTCTAATTGTAAGACACAATATCGCAAAATGTTATTGGTGGCTTTTTTTATTTTCTCTTTGAAAAAGTAGACTCGCTCAGTTCTTGCATCTTGATTTGTCTGTTTATTTTTGGCGAGCAATTTTTGAATGACAAATTGTTGCCGCACGCCCGTTGCCGCTTGTTGAAGGAGAAGTTGCACAATGACAAAAATGGGGGCAAAATGGGGGTGGTTATTTCAATGCCTCCTTTTCCTCCCCGACATTACGTCACTTCGGCGCGTTGCTTTGCGCGGAGATGCGACAGCTCGCTGGGGGCCACGCGAGCGGTGAAGGGAGTAGGGCGGCGGAGAAGGTCGATCAATATCAAGCTAAGCGTTCAGCACCTACCAACCTCTGTGGCGACCCGAGTAACGACACGTCCCGCTCGTTGCAGCCGAATAGATTTCGCGAATACAACGTGGAAAACCGCGACATGCTTCTCCGTCTGTCAGCAAATTTCTTCAAGGCTGCAATACGTCTTGCTTGCTCTTTGTAATCAACATTGCATTTTAATATTGCAATCAAATTTATAACAATGCATGAAATGTGCAATTGAAAATTATTTTCTTGTA